CAAAATCTGTTTCCAATAAAATCAAATAAATCTAGCCTTTTTTGGAAGGTGGACTCGTTTGAACTTGACTCTGCAGGACTTGGGGATGACATGTTGGTGTTCTGATGCAAACCAGATAATCTGGAGAAAAAGGGCTTCCAAATGCTTGACTGCATCTTGCAAACAGGATAATATGCCACAGCAGGACAATCCTTCCCAAAAATTCCCACCAAACCACAGGCTATCAGATACTTCCTGTGCTGCAGAGTCAAGAAAGTGAGCTCAGGCTGGGTTGACATCACACAAACTCAACGTCATGGAAAGGACAAAGTGGAGAGGGACTTCTAAAGAATGAAAGAGTGAAGGTTTACCAATGCCAGGCCATGAGGCCGGACTGAAAATAAATCTTGTCAGTCAGAATTTATGTAACTTTTGTGGTTAAGTCACAATTCTGGCATGTAAAGTCAAATGGTGATGCTGTCTTCCTGCATACCTACAAACTGTCATCCTACTGAAAACTGATATTGATGAGAAAATTAGTGTGGCATAGTCACTGTGTCTGCATCATAGAAAAAGAAATTAATTGCTATTTTGACATAAAATAGTAGATGAGGACTCTCCTTTGTTAGTGTTTACTAATGGAGCATCTGGGATATGATTTTTTACTTTCCCAGTGCTGTTCAATAACTCTACCATATTACCTGGAAGAGAGAGAAAAATCATTGTTCAGATAACTTGCAAATTGGTCTGGACCTTTGATTAAATGGAAATATTTGAAAAGCACCTAGTAGAGCAGATGTGTTTGTAAACATCTGGGAAGAAAAAATTATACCACACTTCCAAGGCAGATGTTTGCACTGAGGAGAGCAGAGAAGGGCTTAAAAACAGGGGTTCTGCAACTGTGTTCATGGACGCTATGGAATTAAAGTGCTGAAAAAATCAAATAGGTGATAAAGGATGCCATGCCTCCTATATTCAGCACTAAGGAGTGAGGTTTACTAATTGATACGGTTTTTAATTTAGCCAAAAAAAAAAAAAAGAAAATTAAAAATGAATGTAAAAAGAGCATTGCAAGGATGGAATCCTGAAAGCATGCTCTATGGCAAGAGCCCTAATGAGCTGTTTATTTATTTTTCCCAGAGAATGACTAGGATGTGAGCCAATTATGGTGTGCAAATGTCTACAGGGAGGTGATATTTATTGTGCTTCCTGTTTTGTTTGTTGTTTTTTTTTTCCCAGGCAAAGGCAGAGTGAGAGGCAGTTGCAGGAAGCTGAAGCCAGACACCCTAGATGTTAAATGGGTATTTTTAATGTTAAGGGTAATTAGCTCTTAGAAAAATAGACATAGGAATCCAGTAGATCCTCCAAGGTTGTAATTTTTACTTAGGGCTCAGAGGACATGAAGAAAGCCTAATGTGACTGTTGCTGTACTGCTCACCCTCAATTTTCTCTATAATCAGTTGAGATATGAGACTTTTCTTCAGGGAGAGCAGAACATGAATCAAGCCTTTTCCCTGTCTGTCTCTGCTGACAGCAGAGATTTTCCAGAGAAATCAGCTTTATTGAGTGGCACCCTCTGGTATAATTCATTACAAAACACATTTTGTATCCAGGATGCTGGAAGAGCTCAGAGCAGCAACAGCTCCTGGCAGGCTGCTTGGCCAGGCTGATGAGAGAGGTCAGACTGAGAGATTAGAGCACCCTCTCCTGCTCTAAAAATTAAAAGCAAAGTGATACAGCTGTGGCTTAACTTTCCCATAGGAAATGTTGTGTCACTTACACACTTCAGTGAGCACTGAAGAGTGCTGGGAATTAATCTGATGGTATGCAAATAACACAGCATTGCAAAGAAATCTTTGCCTTCTAGTGTGGTTGTGGCAGCAATGATAAGCTGTAGATGTGAGGGGGAAAAAGCAAGGTTTGGAGATATAGGCCAGGTTTTAAACACCAATGTTTATTTCAGCCAGATGGGTTATGCAAATATTGGGGTTTTTTTGCCTCAGCTTTTTGATTTACCTTGTTTGTTTATTAGTGAAACCAATCAGGCAGTGCCAGGACCTGAGTTTGTTTTGCAGAAGTAGGAGTGTTGTCCCTAGTCTTGGATACCCTGAGCATGGGAGAGATGTGCTGGAACCATTTGGGATAATCAGCTTTTCCTGGGAAGGGTGGATTACTGCCACAGTCATTACCTAATGGAAGGAGGGTTGTTACGTCTGCAAACAGAAGGAGAAGAAAATGAAGACAGTGATTAAGTTCTCAACCCACTTTGCTATGGAAAAGTATGAAGTGTTAAGGGCAGAGCAATTATGCTAATGAATAGACTGCCAAGATTATTTTTTTTATCTTTCATTGCTGAGATTTGAATGCTATAAACAAACATCCTCTAGAAGTGAGTCACTGGAGTTTTGCAACTTCCCCTGGAGACTGTGAGTCTGCTGACCTGAAGTGGAATTAAACTGTGCAGCCCCATTGCTGACACAGAAAGATAACACTGAGCATATGACATATGGATAGAGATATAGGTACATCTGTGTGTGGATAAATCAAACTTATAAGTTCAAATTAAAAAAAAAAAAATACTCCCAACCGAAAAAAAAACTTTATATAATGTTATTTTTTGAGTAAAATCTGGTGTCAAAACCTGATGTACTGGTAGCATACAAAGCAGTGTTCTCAGTTCAGGCTTGACATTAAAGTGTGTCTTAGGCACTTTCCAAATATGAAGCTATTTTATAATCCCTGATAACTGTCCTGATCTGTAACAGCCTTCAACGAAGCACATGCCCAGGAACCCGCCTGGATCTGCACTGTACAAGGAAATGAATGAATGGCAGCAAATGAATGAAATTAACAGAGGGAGCTGCTCTCCCCACTGCATCTGAAAGACTCTGTGGTTTCCCTCAATCATTAGTTCTGAGGAACTGCTCCTGAACTCACGCCAGTGAGATGTGTATAATTTATATGATGTAGTGTATAATTTATATGATGTAGTTGAGTTACAAATTATTCCCTCTAGACCAATGCTGGGCCTCTGACCGCAGCTAAATTATTGCAAGGGGCTTCCCAGCTAGGACCGGCATGGAGACACTTGAGGCTTTTCCAGGATGATAATTGTATTGCCAGGTCCAAGGGGAAGGTGCCTTGGAATGGTTTATTGGAAGGCTCAGCTCTAGGGAGGTATATACAGGACCCAGAGAAATAACCAAGAATGATTAAATAATGGAATAGTTTGTATTGGAAGAAACCTTTAAAGGTCATCTAGTCCAACCCCCAAGAAGACTTTGATGCGAGTGTAAAAGCTCTGTATGTCATGATAGGTACAAAAAAATCATGACATACAGAGCTTTTACACTTTTTACACAAAAAATCCACGAAAAACAACAGGGAAAATGGGAACATGGCACATCAGCAGAATGGTGAAGCCAAAACTCAAATATTCTGCATACCCCAAACCTAAATAGCTCAAGAAAAGGAGCCATCTCTGCTGTGGTGCAGAGAGATTTAAAGAGCTGCTCTGCAGGGGCCAATCCCAGGAGCTAAATCCCACTAATCCAAGGGCAGAACTTTAAGATGCCATCCCTACAGCTACTGGGTTAGACTGGAATACAATCTGTACTGAGACAGTTCAGTGTGAGGCAGACTTGGACCTCAGCAAGAGCCTCAAGGAACTGAAGGCTTTGGAGGTTATAGCCCAAGCTGTGAAACCCTCAGGAGAGGAATGGCCCTCACCAAAAGGGACACAGGAAGCTTTTGACAAGGCACAGAGGATCCCAGAGCACCCACCCAGCTGGAATGGCCTGTGCACACGGGAATTTGAAGGAGGTGGACACCAAAGCAGGGGAAGCTGCCCGTGCATTGCATATCCTCATGGTGGTGCCCACATCCAAGGTCAACCACTGACTCTGGAGAGAGGCTGCTCTGCTGTGGGTGGCTCCATCAGGCAGAGGAGCTGCAGGTGCATTTACAGCACATGCTGCACCGTGGTGCTGTGTGTCCCGGTGCCTGAGCATCCAGGATAAAATCACTTTTCCAGTAATGAACAGGTAAGCTGGAATAAGGGGCCTGCTATTTTTATACTACAAACTTGCTGGGATCAGCAAAGTTTTCTAAGCCATGGGGTGACACTGCAGATGGAGGGGAGCCTGCTTTGGTATTTCTGTGCTTGGCTGTGAAGGGCAAAATTGTTATTCAAAAAAGCCCCAAACAACCCTATGGCTTCTAGTATTTACCCAAGAATATTTGAAGCCAAGAGTGTACACAAAGCTTTTGACCTGAGAGTTATTTAGCAGTTTTTTATATAAATTCCTTTATCTAAATTCCTTTCCCCTCATTTTCTGATTATTTATTTAGCCACCTTTCAATTTGCCAGATTTAAGAAACTCTGAGCTGTCCTTGAAAAAATTTTCAAGACAGTTTTAAAATTGTACGCACATACATATGTATCCCTAAGTATATGAATATGTGTGTCTATATATGTGTTTGTGAGTTTTTGTCTTTGTATGGGCTCTGATTCATATTCACAACCCACTGAGGATTTTTGAGGGAAGCTGATGGCCTAGCTTATTTCACCTTTTAATTTTTTTATATGGGTGTTTGTCTGCGTGACTTTGAAACTGTCTTTCTTAGGAACCAGAATCAGGGTGTATCCATAGGTTGTATTTACTGCTGCAAACAAAGCAGACTCATCCTTCACTGCCTGGTGTCGGAGTGTATTGTAAAACATATTAAAATGTTTATGTAAGTGTGCATGTAAGGGTTATGGCATGTCTGACACTGGTCGGACACTTTTCTGCATGGTGAGGTGGCTGGTGTGGTGCAAGTCCACGTGTCTGTGTGTGGATTTGGCTCCTCAAAGACTTATGACTTGAGAGCTGTTGTGAAGCTTGGGCTGACTCAGCTGTACCTACATGCATAGTACAAACACTTATGGTGAAAGGCAAACATAATCTGCTTTCCTTCTAGCATCTCGTAATGCTCTGCCTGGCTCCTTGAAGAACTTGGTGCAGATCACCTGTGAAACAATGCCTTTTCTCCTGTGGGGTACTAACAGCTCCTCCTGGGTGCTGTCAAGGCACATCAGAGTGTCTCACTTCAATGCTGGGAATACGTTCAAGACATTCTTCCAGGATCTCTGGTGGCTGTTGTTTGGAATAATCCTACTTTGTTCCCCAGCACATTGCTCTGTCTTTAAAATTGGACTGCTTGGACCCTGGAACTGTGACCCCTTCTTTTCCAAAGCCTTTCCCCATGTGGCTGCCAGGTTAGCTGTGGGACGAATAAGCAGAGATCCTTCACTAGATCTTGGCCACCGACTGGATTATGTGATCCTGCAAGAAGAATGTGAGACACCAAGAGCTCTGGTTAGATTTATTGACTTTAGAAAGCTTTCCTCAGCTTTTATAGGCCCTCTAAACCCTGGCTTCTGTGAGGTGGCTGCACATTTAGGGAAAAACTGGAATAAAGCTATCTTCTCATGGATGTGCATCAATTATAAGCTGGATTCCACCATCCGCCATAGTGCGTTTGCAAGAACTCTGCCCTCTCCAACCCAAATTTTACTTACAATAATGAAATATTTTAAGTGGGCTCATGTTGGCATCATTGCATCCAGTGATGATATTTGGATGTACACAGCCAAGGAGTCAGCAACTGCACTCAGGAACCATGGGCTACCTGTAGGCATTGTTACATCGGTGCATAAGGGAGAAAAAGGCATTGAAGACACTTGGAACAAGATTAAAGAAGTTAATAACATTAAAAGTAAGTGTTTTGAGTCTCATACCTTTTTTAATTTTTTTTTTCCCCCAGGGTAGGACTGCATTGTTACCCAACGGATATACTTTAGAGAATGAAAACTTAAAGTGATTTAAGTCAAGCAGAATTTTATCTCTGATACTAATGCAGACAAGGCTTCACATAAAAGAGTGCTGGACATTTTGTGTGTGATAAATATAGACCAAAATAATCTACTACAACCTGAAAGACTGGGTCCAGCTTGTCTCAAAAAAAATATTTTGTAGATGGTTTTCTGGGCTTGGCTTGTGTAAAGAGGATTTTATAGGAAGTTTTTGTATTAAAGGTGATTTGTATTGTGGAATATCAAAAATCAATATCAAAATCAAAAATCTTGCTTTGATGCTGTGTCCTGTATTTCAGATCTCCCCACCAGATATTGACCCCATGACATTTTGCGAGAAAAGGCACCAACTTTGGGACAGTCAAGCATGGACCATATGTTTAAACACAACCCAGTTGGGTCAACCTAAAATCTGTATATTTGGTGGCAGGCTGAACGTGTGGAGGTTGGACACTGCTTACAGCTGTGTGGTGTCTGTCAGCTCAGGGCACAGAGAGGGAAAGCTCATGTCTTGGTCAATGACAACAATGACCACAACTGCCCATCATCTTCACCTGTGCCTCACTTCCATCAAAAGTTCTCTCCATTCCTTCTTTACAGCTCCAGAATTGGTTAACACCCACAACCTTCTTTATTAGGTTGAACAAAATGGGTGTGACTCTCAGCTTCCTCAACACGTAACAACAGGATCTGACCTGATAGAGTAGTTCAGACAGCTCTTTTATTGGCGGGGGGAAGGCTGTTTCATGTTGAAAACCCCAGGCAGATTGCTAACACTCTCCACTGTCCTTGTGTTCCAGTTATACTGCTGTGCATGCACTCTGTTCTCATCGGAGGGCAGGAACAGGCCGCCTTACTCACAAAAGCTCAGGAAATGGGACTAGCAGATGGAAGATACATCTTTGTTCCCTATGACACTTTGCTGTACAGTCTTCCTTACCAAAACAACTCATTCGGTGTCTTTGATAATGACAGCAAGCTCCGGGAGGCTTATGATGCTGTGCTGACCATCACGCTGGAGTCTGGAGAAAGGACTTTCTATGATGCATTCAGGGAAGCTCAAGAAAGTGGTGAAATAATCAGGGACTTGGAAGCCACACAGGTAAATATTCTTTATCTTGGGCTTTGCTGGGACCTATCAGTAGGAAACAGCAATAATTACAGAAAAAGTACAGGAAGAGTCAATCCAGCCTGCACACTTTCATTTTGAGAAAAATACAGAGAAAGTTGAATGTGTTCTGCACTCATCTGGAAAGGTCACTTTTCCCAGATGTCTGGCAATATAACTCACTTGGTTCAACTGCAGGACAATGATGGGAATTCAAGAAAAAGGGGCTGTGTCTGAGGCTCTCAGATTTGGGTTGCTATGTGCTAGCTGCAATGGGCTTGAATTGAAAGGGTATCTCTTAAAGTGAATGAAGTCCATGGAGTTTGTTATAAAATAAGATGTCCATATGACTGAGAATTTGAGGAGATGAGAGAGACTAAAGAAATACTGGACACTTCTAGAGGGAAATATTTAAGACCATTGCTTTTGCATTTTTCTTAGCACTATAGTCAAAGTTACTCTTTGTCAGCATGATTATCTAAAAGTCACTGGTAGCCTATTAAAAACCAAATCAGTTTTTACCTTGAGAACATTTAGAAGAATTGGAGAATCTCATGCTGGTGAAGAGATACAGGACTCAGCTGAGTTATTCTTCAAATCTCCCTATGACATTTCAAAAAAACAAGTACTTTTAAATAATAATTTATTAGATCTGCACAAATCTACTTTAGAAGGAGATGAATCATGTCTTGAAAGCATTCATTTCTTTCCCTTCACTTTAATGAGAGCCCAGGTTAACTGTGTTAAGTATCAGGTTCTTCATTTCAGATATCTACAGCTGATCAATTAATCCCACAAATGTCAGATTCTGTGGCTCCCAAGAGCACACCTCATTTTTCTCACAAGTGTATGGCTATAATCTCTCTTCAGCTACCAGCTGTGCATGATCATGTGATTGAAAAAGTCACCATTTGTGTTAAAGCTTCCTAAATCCAGTCTGGCATGGAAGGGAGCAATGCAAATAGAAAGGGCTCTGTTACCTCGCAGGGCAGCTTAGCTGTGGCTCTGCTGTGGGATTTTTGCATCTTCGAGATAAATAATATTTTGACAGAGAACACCAATTCTTTGGGCATGACACTTTTCCTGTCTTAGTATGGAGCCTCTAACTTTGATCTTCTATTTGTAGAAGATATTTTAGTGTAACGTTTTGAAGCAGGATAAATTTGTGATAAATTTCAGCTGAACATCATGCTCAGAATCTTGGCTTTTCCCATCGTAATGCAATTTTGTGTGTCTTTAAAATATTTTGAAATTGAATTTTGTGAATCCACCATAAGAAAAGACAGATAGTCAAAGTCATGCATATATTTGGTCTAAGGTTCTTCAAACCCACTACCCTGTAAGCCTTAATGTTCTGGTGTCTCAGCATTTAAGTTCACAACTTAGCCAGGGGAAAAATATTTTTGCCACCAAACTCGAACTAAAGGTTAGGAGCAGTTTAGCCTCAATTTCTTCTTTATTTTTAGGTTTCTCCACTCTTTGGAACAATCTATGATGCCATTTACTTCATAGCAATGGCTATGGACAGTGCACGGAGGAAAGGAGTCAGAGCCTCAGGAGCCAACATAGCTGAGCACACAAAAAACTTCAGTTTCCCTGGATTTAGTCACCGAGTAGAGACAGACAGCCATGGGAAGGGGCTGAACAATTATGTGATACTGGACACAGATGGTCAAGGGAACAAGTTTTACCCAACCCACCTGCTGGACATGTCTTCAGGCTCTGTGTTGTCCCTAGGCCAGGCCATCCACTTTCCCAATGAAATTCCACCCAAACCAGACTCCAGCTGTTGGTTTGATCCAGATGTTCTCTGCGCTGAAGGTAAGAAAGAAAGAAAGAAAGGAAAAAAACCAACAAAAATAGAGTGAAATGGCATTGAGTTCATGCTTCTCATTTCTTTCATCTTTTCTCTCACTCCAAGTAGTTACCCCTTTAAATTAGAACTCCCCAGCCAGAAAAGTCTAAATTCAAGGACCTAATATAAAAATGCCCAGTCATCATGCTGTTCCCATCATAATGGGAATCCTGTGCAGAGGTAACACCATCAATCCACAATATTCTCTTATTGCTTGTTAGATCATAGAATAGTAGAATCATTATGGTTGGAAAAAACCTCTAGAATCATTGAATCCTTAAACTACCAGTACCAAGCCAACCACTAGGTAGCACATCTACACAATTTTTTCAACAATTCCAGAGCCATTAATCCCAGTACTCTCCTGGGCCAATAAGGTTGTTACCACTGTTATGTGTTGAAAGGGTTTTCTGGGTCTAACACTCAACACCTGCCAATTTTAATAGTAACCATTGTATAACAGAGGCTCCACACTGTGGAGCACTGTGTCTCTGTCCTTCTGAGGAACAGGACACTAAGAGGATTTGCCTTGAAGACAGCCTATGAGAGCTGCACAAGAGCAGATGCTCTCAGCATCCTGTCTGTTAACCCCTGCTTCTTCATTCAGGTAGCAATGAGAAGAACCATCAGAGTTCATCTCACTGAGAAAAAATGATAATCGTTACTCAAAATCATTTGACTTATTAAAGATAACAGAGGTAGTAATCAAAGGCCTGGGGGCAGAGATATCTGTGCTGCTTCCTAGGTTTTTCAGACTGGGCTCTGGGTTTGCCTATTGTTTTTGAATTGAGGCAACTATGGTGCAATTTTAAAGGTCACAGGGAAGCCAAGATCTCAGGGTAGGGTATTTAACATCCTCTTGACATATTTACTTATAATACTAAGCATTTATGCCTATTGCTTCAGGATATGTCTTAAACAGATGAAATTAACCACATCATGGAATATTTCATTCAGTAGCTGAGAAAACCATTCTCCTTGGCTTAGCCATAACTGAGCTGACACATAAATCAGTGTCACTCTATGAAAACTGGAGATGTACTGATCTTAGAGCAACTGGAAAGCAATATAAGAGATAAGTATAATGCTATCATATATCTAATTTTGCAGTGCCCCTAGGAAAAATGTAGCAATTTAGCATCTCATTGCAGTCTATAGAAAAATCACACTGATTTTTAGAGAGATTGGATTTTATGTTCATACCTTTACAAAAGCATAAAGCTCTAGGCATCTGTCAATTAAACAGTAATTTATTATGATTGTTAGAATTTCAGAGGCTGAACTTTATGGCTAGAATTAAATACAAGCCTCACTCTAGCTTTTGTAGGAAGTTAGGCTTGGAGGGATGTTGGATATGAAGTTGTCAGGCTGCTGTGCTTCCTAACTCCAGGTTCACCAGGAGAGGGCTGAGCTGGTGTTCCCAGGACACAGACACACACACACACACACTGCAGGCAAAGCCAGTCACTGGCAGAGTAACACATACAGGAGAGTTATTTGTTTACAGGCACCACTACCCACAGCCAGCACTGCGGGGACATGGACATCAGAAATGGCCTGGTGCTGCTCTTATGCACCTCATAATTAGATTCCAAGCTTGATACCAGATCTCACAGCCTCAACTCCTTCAGACTCACAGATGCATTCTTTGGGAGATGGTCCAAACCTAAATTCCCTCAGAGCCATCCCTCAAACCCTTCAGTCTCTGCAGGACCTGACTCCAGGACTTGCCTTCCTTGTTAGTTAGGTTGATGTTAAGTCTGTAAATATCATACACAGTCAGAGAGCACAGTTACCCAGGAAAAAATGATGGGGTTAAGAAGGTGGGAATGACTGCACTGATCAAGTGAAGGGTTTGCCTGGAAAAAATGCACAATGTGGTTACGTGTGACCAGCATCCTCATCCTCTCACATACTTGAGTATTCCCGACCCATTCTATCTCTCCCTTCATCCATATGTGCACTTTCCCCTAAAGATCCTGTGAGAAGTTTTATGTGTTCCCACAGTTCCCTTAAAGCATCCTCTAATGACTTTACCTCAATCCCATAAATTCCCTCAAGCATGCTGTAAGTTTGCTCTTTCCCATAAGCTCATAATTAGCTTACTTTCACTTCTGGTTAGTTGTGAAATATAGTAGGGACCTTTGAAGGCCATCCATCTATTCCAATCCCACACTAGACCAGGTTGCTCAAAGTCCCATGAGGCCTGATTTTAAACACTGCCAGGGATGGGGCAGCCACAGCTTTCATGGGCAACCTCTTCCTGTGTTTGTGTGAGGACTGTCAGGGCCTGGGGCTCTAGACTGAAGCAGTGAAATTTCAGCTAAAATGCTCTGACTTTCCTGAAACAAATACCAATTTTTCAAAATGCCTTCAGCTTTCACTGGAAAGCTCTAGGTCTCGGTGCTTGCAGATAGGTGCCAGTGTAACACAGAGTCGTGAACCTTTCATCAACCTGAATTTCTCCATGTTTGTTTGTGTTTATAGTTCTCTGGATGCAAACAGAATAAATATAAAAATTAGAAAACAGAAGAGACAGACATGGCAAACAGTTCCCACTGGAACTTAGCTTATGCAGTCATATCAGCTTCCCTTAGCTCTCTAGCAAGCACACTCATCAACCAAGAATCTGTCTCCAGTACTTTCTGCTGATGGATGTGTCAAGGAGAACATCAACCTTCTGCTGCTCCTCCTCTTCTTCTCTTTTCAGCATTAGAAATCTGCAGCAGAGAATGAAAAAGCCCAGATGGGCCAGTGACTCACCCTGGCTGTTGGTTTGATACCACAAGATAAAGATTTTTCTGCATTTCAATTTCTCAAGAGAAATGGGCCAAATGTTAAAAAGTTCTGAACTTTGCAGAAGCTTCCTCTAAAACTTAATACTTCCCTGTTAGTCCATTTATTTACTATTTTTCCACTGGTCCACAGCTCTAAGACTGGTTTAGAAAAAAAAAAAAAAAAAGCATGGAAATAAATAATTAGCATAGCTGAAGTCTTATGTTCACCAAGTTAGTAAGTATTTGTGTATTCATAAACAAACATTGCATTAAAATTGTTTTCCAGCATTCTCCTGGTTGTATATTTGACTTTGTAATCCAATGTCCTGATAGTGATGTTTTTATTATTATTGCCTAAATCAAAATTATTTGCTAATTCACTGATTTTTTTTCCCATCTTTGCACAGGGATTGAACCTGCAGTCATTTTGCTGGGAGTAATGCTGTTATTTGTGCTGGTGTTGTGTGCTGTGGGCCTGGCTTCTCTCATCAGGTGAGAATTGTAACATGTATTTGAGTTGGTGACACTTTTAGCTTCTGTGTGCTTTAGCCAGCAGTTTAGATTATGCACACACAGAAGGTCTGATTTTGCTCTTGGCTCTCCAGCCACATATCTCTTCACATTTGTGGTGTGTTGGCCCTGGAAACATGCCAGGCATCCACCAAAGGCTTTCTATCTCTCCCTTCCTCAGCTGGACAGGGGAGAGAAAATACAACAAAAGGCCCATGGGTCAAGATGGGGTCAGGAGGGGATCATTCACCAATTGCCACAACAGCCAAAATGGACTTGATGTGGAGAAATTAAATTTATTACCAATCAAATCAGAGTAAGATAATAAGAAATAAAATAAAATCTTAAAAAACACCTTCTTTCATCTCTCTCTTCTTCCCAGGCTTAACTTACTCCCAAATTCTCTACTTCCTCCCCACCAGTGGCACAGGAGCCAGGGGAATGGGGACTGCAGTCAGTTCATCCCACATTGCCTCTGCTGCTCCTTCCTCCTGAGGGGAAGGACTCCTCACACCCTTCCCCTGCTCCAGCAGTCTGTTGCTGGACATTTCTGAAGCATTAGGAAGGTGGTTATCACTTTAGAAGTGCAAAGGATGACATAAAAACCAAAGACAGGAATCTGTTACGGGAACATGAGGGTTGAAACCAAGTATTTTTCTTACTCCAGATCATTCTTGCCTGAATTTCTGTCTTTAATATAATCATGTTTCCTATGAAACATGTGAGGCTGACCCTCTGTATTTTCTCCATGTACTAAAAAGAAAGAAAATACCTCTGAAAAGAATTTGAAGCAAATATTTAGGATACATATTTATTATCAAGTTGATTTACTAACTGTTTTGAACTGGGGTTCAGCTCCCTAGTCATTTCCATTATATATGTATTGGTCTGGGTATGAGATCTTTGGAGTAAAGGCAGTAGCGTTCTGGGGAAGGAATCATTTCCCATAATTGCATATCACATATGTGTCTCAACTCTATATCCAAAGTAGAAATGTGCCAGAATTGATTGGTTGGTCCAGGAGCTATGGATTGCTCTTGGCAAGGTCACTGCAGCCCCTGGAGTAGTTTGTCTCTAATTATTTATGTCCACATGACCAATCTTAGAGAGAAAATAGACTGAAATTAGAAGGCATATTTACTGAGCAGCAAGGAGTTCGGCAGAGCAGAATTCCTAAATTGTTCTCTCCAGCTTTGCCTCTCAAATAATTCTGAGACATGTTTTGACTCCACTCCTGAGTCATCCCTCCAAACCCAGATATAAGGGCCACCCAGCAAGCAACACCCCAAGCAGTTTCCCCTCTTTCAGCACACAGCTGCTTCTGATACAACTGCAGACACTGATGAGGTTGCCTCCATCCACCCACTCTTTGAAACTTTGCTCTGTTCCCTGGCCACCAGCCTCAACAATTAAGTACATAAAGGACAATCTTTCTGCCTACTCTATTTGTAAGCTCTTCCACAAGCACCAGGCTGTGCTTGGGAAGGCTTGGTCTTGAGAAAAGATGTATGGCCATCTGCTAGGGAAGAAAAAGTCCAGCATGACTCAGACAATGATTTATATTAGGAAGGGGCATGTCTGGAACTAAATTTAAAACACAGCATGGTCTGAGTTGAAATGTGGAAGCTCTGGTCTTAGCTCTTTCAGGGGTCTGCGGCATGACCTTAAATGAGTCACTCTACTCTCTCTGCTTAGCTTTTGGCAGAGGGATGCTTTCCTCCCTGCTTAGGGAGAGGGTGTGATTTATCAAGCAAGGTTTTTCAGATGGACTTGTGAAGGGTACATAAGTGATGATTTTTTTAATGAAGATGAGTTGGGTGGCTTGCGACAGTGTGTTTAGGGAAATATCACCCCAAGTAAAGCCTGTGGTTATGTGGCAAAGGCTTCCTTTCAGCTTCAAGAAGCTGCCCATGCTCTTCTAAAATGTCAAGAATGATACACTGAGAGGAAAAGTGAATTGTGGTGATTTGGGGTTGTTTTATGTGGTGATGTCCTTCTACAGTAACATCAACAAAAGAAATCCCTATTGTCCACCTCATCAGGGAAACACTTAGGAGAGTGAGGATCAGTCATCTGCTGTAGTGTTAACAAAGTTCCTTAAGCAAAAGAAGGGACACTGAGGGCAATGAGGAAGCTTTCCCTTCCCTTCTCTGCTCCTGGTTGAGAGGTTTTGACTGTCTATACTGCTGCTTTGTGCTCACTGTTACACCCTGATGTCCATTGAAGCAATGGGATCCAAATGATGAGGTGTGATGTCACGTGTGCCATACTGCTCATCCCTTGCAGCTATTCCCTCCGTATGAGACTGTGACCATTACAAGGGCACATCTTGCTCTGTGTTTCAAAATGCACCATGTTACAATATAGACACTCAGATAGCATGTTTAGACAGTAACTTGTGTCCAGGCAGCTCTTATATATTAACTATGATTCAGCTTCAGGCCCTAAGAAAGGCTGATGTGCCTAAATGTGGTTTGCTTATGACCAGACCAGCTAGACTAATAAAACTTGCTTTTGTCTCCTAACAGAGAATGATCTGGGATATGACAAATAAAGGCGAGCAAAACAAAATATGGCTTAAATACATATCTGATTAATATTTGTAAGCAGATTAAATCCAGTTGTCTATTTGTAATGAGACCCTGTGAGATGATATCTTTTGTTGCTATCCATGTTGAATTGGGTAATTCGTGACTTGGGAATTAAGTCCATGCCAAGGCATGGTGATTTGTCCATTGCTTTCACCAATGCCCATCCCCACTCCTACACCATTTTAGACCTTAAAGATCATGTAGTTCCAACCACTCTGCCATAGGCAAGGCCACCTTCAACTACACCAGGCTGCTCAGAGCCCCATTCCACCTGGCTTTGAACACTTCCATGGGTGGGGCTGCTTCAGCTTCTCTGGGCAACCTGTGCCAGTACCTCCACACCTTCAGAGAAAATAATTACTTCCTAATAAATAATCGAAACCTTCACTTTTTCAGCTGGAAGCCATCCCCCCTTGTTCTGTCACTCCATGTCCCTGTCAAAAGTTCCTGTCCATCTCTCTTGTAGCCCCTCTCCTTAGGCACTGGAAGGTGCTCTAAGGAATCCCCAAAGCTTTCTTTTGAACACCCCCAGCTCTCTCAATTGTCTGCATAACAGAAGTGCTCCAGCCCCCAAATCATCTTCATGGCCTTCTCTGGACCTGCTCCAACAGGTCCATGACCTTTATAAGTCAGAGGCCCTGGAGCTGGATGCAGCACTGCAGGCAGGGTCCAATAGTGCAGGGAAGCCAGAGGAGGTATAAACTGGCTGCCTACCTGGGTGCCAGATGCCCACTCAGTTGCTCTATCACTCCCTTTCCCACTGTGACAGGGCAGAGAATAAGCTGTAGAATGACCAGCAGGGTGAGACAAGGCAGTTTTATTACAATAAAAAGAAAGAAATAAGGGGAGAGCTACGCACACAAGAGCTGAAGAGGAAAAATATCAGTCTCTACTTCTCTTAAGCAGCAATGTTTGGACACTTCCAGGAAGCAGGGCTTCAGCATGCATAACAATTCCTTCAGAAGGCAAACACTGAAAACTCACAAATGCCCCTCTTCCTCCTCTCTCCCTTAGCTTATATATCTGAGCTGATGTCATGTGGTATGGAATATCCTTTTGGCTAATTTGGGTCGGCTACCCTGGTTGTCTCCCTTCCCAGGATCTTGCTCACTCCCATCCCCTTTGATGAGGGGAAGGAATGTCAGAAGGACACTGCTTGTCTGTTATCAACACCTGTTCAGCTACCAATGCAAAGCACAGCGCTGAAAGGGCTGTGAACGTTACCTCGGTCAGACCCAACACACTGCCTAAAAGTGATAACTGTGACTCTCCAACTCTTGCAGGCAGAGTATCTTGAACAACCAGCTTTTCAGGGGTCCGAACAAGATCATACTGACCTTGGATGACCTCATCTTCATCAACCCAGAGCTACATAGAAAGGTGAGTCCTTATTATCATGAAAGGAATCTGGTGGGACACTCTAGAACAGATTTGCTGTGTGATATTTTCATACTCATGAAGCCCTGGAAGGGTCATTTCACTTCTTCATGTCATGTTCCCTTGCACATTAGAAAATTTCCCATATGCTGAGTGCTTTTGAGTGTCAGATTAGATGTCAGAGCCTTTATGATGATGTAAAATCGTAGCCTTGGTAATGTTTCCTCTAGCTGCCAGGGCTTATTCCTTGTTCTTGAGGTTGGATGGTGCGCCATAGGGCATGTCCAAAAAGATAAACCATCTTGCCATCTAAAATAAAGTGGCTGCATTCAAATATACTGGGAAGCATTCCTGGTCCATTCTGGCTCACACCCAGAGCTGGTGATCTGCTGGGGGACACTCCCATGATTTCCTTACCCAGAAATCCATGCTGCAAGGCAGAGCTGGAGTGGAGGTTTACACCCAAAGGTGGCAACTGCCTAGCATCTGCTTTCCTTGCCTTCCAGAGGCTGACCTTGGACAGTCTGACTGATGCAAACAGCATAGCAGTCAAGAACAGAAGCCTGAAATCCGTAACCCGCTCCGCTTCCTTGAAAAGCACAGTTGCCACCCATGAAACCTCCAATGTGGCTTTGTATGAGGTAGGTAGGGACCTCATGCAGCCTTCTCTCACTGCTTCTGTTCACTGGACTTCTCCAGGGGGAAAAGTATTTGGATGCAGTACTGTAGGTCCCAGGATGGAGAGGTTTGAACAAAGTCTAGGTATGATAATAAGCTACTCCCAAGCATGGACTTAGCAGTGTTTAAGGCAACTCTGTCCCAACCCTCACCCTGACACTTGGAGTCATGTGGGATGGGAATATTCAACACACACATGTAACATTGCCAGTCTGGTCCTGTCAGAAAAGTCATTACCTGAGGCAGTGGCACCATAAAGAACCTTTCTTAGAAGACAAGTCTTTATTTGGTGACATCTCTAATAAGGAACTTTCTTAAAGACAGGATCCAAACAGAATAATGGAAACTCAAATTCCCCTTTGGGTCAATAGGACTGTATGGAGCTTAACAGAGGCAATGGCCAAGAAAACTCACCCCATCCATCAGGTTTTTCCAGAAAATACAGATTTTTGAAAAAATGGCATGGTAACTTTTCCTGAAGAGGGGCAAAATAAATTTGATCAATCATTAATGCCAGAGAAAATACTCTAGTCAGAGTTATTTTCCTTTTTAATCCATTTATTACTGTTTATCAGACACTAAGAAATCTTCCAGGCCTGAAATTGTGATCTAGGTGAAGTCCTGCCTCACCCCTTACTTTGAGAGTTTGCTGTGGATATTCTTATTCAGGTTCAGTATATAAGTAATCTGTTGCCAAGAACCTTAAAAATCCCCAGCTACTTTCAAAATCAAGGATCTGAAATTCAGACCTGGATCCCAATGTTAACTGTTGCTCAGAGGTTTGTTCTGTCAGTCACCCACCTTTGTTGGGATTAGGGGACTGGAGCTGCTCTCTTAAGAGGAAAGGTTGAGCGATTGGGCCTGTTCAGCCTCAAGAAGAGACAACTGACAGAGCACCTCACTAGTGTCTATAACTATCTGAAGGGAGCGTGTCAAGAGGACAGAGCCAGGTTCTTCTCAGTGGACAAGAGGCAAAAGGCAGAAACTGGTGCACCTGAACAGAAAGTTCCACCTGAACATGAGGAAGAACCTAGCTGTGCAGGTGACCAAGCATTGAAACAGATATTCCAGGGAGGATGGGGAGTCTCCCTCACTGGACATATTGAAGAACTTCCTGGACACAATCCTGTGACATGTGCTCTAGGATAATGTTTTCTTAAGCAGGGAGATTGGACTCGATGGTCCATCACTGGTTTCTTCCAACCTTGACCATTCTCTGATTCTGTGATTCTGGACAGGGAGACCAGGTGTGGCTGAAAAAATTTGAGACAGGAGCAGTAAACAATCTGAGGCAAAGCTCCACCAGCATCTTAAGGAAGGTAGGAAAAAGGGATGATGACATGTGGAGGGAAGGTTTCTCAGGGGATGTTTTTGGCTGCAGGGTGTGTTTGTTGCCCTTGTCTCATGTTTATCCATTAAATCATGCATTGTGGTTGTCAATGAGTCTTGTCTGGTGAAATGTGTAGAGTGGACCATGCATGACTGCGTCTGACAAATTTACTATAGATCCATATGACAGTCAGCAGCTGGTAAAACCCCACCCTGAACCTGCCACTTCCAAGCTGGTGCAGTGTCAAATGTATAACAAATCCTTCAAGTGACCTTTCCTGCAGAGGCAAGGAAGGTTTGGGGAACTCATCCCTCCACAGTGTGAGGCACTGGTAGATATTTTTATGTATTATATGTTGACAGTGTGACACAGACACAGTTGTGCATTTCTCTGGAGTTTGCTTTGTGTTTCTACCCAAGATGCCTCAGATGCTTAATTTTGGTCTTCAATTTTATTGTTACAAATTACAAGAAAGCTACTTGTTTTCTAAATTCAAGGGCATTCGTGGTTGACAGCTATTGCTAACATAGCAGTGGCAATTTTATGCATGTAAAAGCAACAAATTTACCAGGGCATGTCTCTGAAGACATGATTGGTGGATGACTTTGGATTCCCTAGGTGTGGTATTGTTTCCAATTCAGAGCAAGATCCACATGCTGAGCTCAATCTACCCCAGCGAAGCCCTTCTGGCCTAGTGAAAGATTCAATACAGTTTGCCTAAACAAAACACAAACTGCTGTTTAGTTTGCTTTTACTATCTTGATTTCTTTGTATAATGGATAGACTAAGGAAAACAAAGCTTGAAAAGAGTGTTGAGTAGCCAAAAATAAGCACCAGAGAGGTTGTTTGCGTCCCCATCTTTCTGTGGAAGGCTGTTTGGGAGTACAAGTGTGAAAAGGGCACCTAGTAATACCAAGAAGCTACCAAGCAGATGTCTGGCTGATCTGGTCTCACTGTGGTTCACTGTCTTGTTTCAGATGAAAGATCTGCGTCATGAAAATGTGAATCTCTTCCTGGGCTTTTTCTCGGACTGCGGCATCTTTGCCATAGTGACCGAGTACTGCTCACGAGGCAGCCTGGAGGACTTGCTGAGAAATGAGGATATGAAATTGGATTGGATGTTCAAGTCCTCTCTTGTGATGGATCTAATTAAAGTAAATCCATTGCTTGTGACGAGGCATGATCTGAAGGGGGCTTTTATGGTGACTAAGCTATTTCAATCAGAAAGTTGTTTTTTTATAATAACACAGGGAAAACAAATCTGGATTTAAAACAAATCTGGATTGTATCAGTCTTTAAAGGAGACCTCTTATCCTTGGTTTTTTTTTCCATCTGAGAGAAGCACCATTTGGGACGATTCAACTACAACCACAGAGCAAGACAAGATGCTAAAACTACTTATCAATCTGCAACTGATGACCTAGAAAAAAAAATTCATTAATTCTTTGCAAAGGCCCTTTTTTGTCATAAATCAGAAGCACATCCACCATAGAACCAAAGAGTATCCATCCTCTGCCACAGGACGGCTGCACATATGGTCCCTTTAGCAGTGTTCACACTTCCAGTCATGTCCCATGTTTTCATGTCTTAATGGTGAACTACTAATCTGGGACAGGTGGATTTCAGAGAGTAGACCACCAGAACCATTCTTATAGTCTGTGATCCCCCTTCTGAACCTCCTTGAGGGAGATGGGTAGGGACACCCAGCCCTTCATTACTTACTTTGACCTAACTCTTTGGTAATACTTTTTTCCACTTTCTTATCCTTGCCTAAAAGCAGAACTTCTGGATACTGTGAGATGTAGGGCTACAGAGGGAGGCATCCGAGTCTTCCTAAAGTTGTCAGACCTTTACTACTTTAGTGTCCAGACAAACCTATTTCATGTGCGTAATCAATTTCTAATCTTCTCTCATAGTTTGTTGTTTCGATCATTACTGCATTTGACATAGAGTCAATGCTGCATTTAATGCCATCTTAGGTGACAAACTGGCTTGCAGTCTCTGAGTGTTGATGGATAAGATAATTCTTAAGGACAACCCTGGATAATTTTCTGTATTTCATAGGGAATCAGATATTTGCATCACCGAGATTTTGCCCATGGACGTCTCAAGTCTCGTAACTGTGTTGTGGATGGCCGGTTTGTCCTGAAGATCACTGACTATGGTTATAATGAGATCTTAGAGGCACAGAAATGCCCCTATATTCAGCCATCCGCAGAGGGTAGGTGTGATGAGGAAATATTTTTTTTTAAATATTTGTCCATTGATATAAGAGATGTTTGTCCTAATACAATTTCAGGCCAGTGGCCACACAAGGATTTTCATGCTCAATCTCACTACATCTAGTTTCCTCCTTACCATGCATTGTTATAAGAAAGGGTAAGCAAGGGTTTTTTCAGACTGCCTGAAAGTGAAGCGAATAGCAGAGTGATGTGGTAAAGAAAATATATTTTACTATAAGCAGGGACAGAACTTCAGCTTTTTGCAGCTGGAGAAGGACTGAATTGTCCCTGAAATCTTATCAGTACTGAATTTTTGTATAAATGTAGCCAGTAGAATGGCTTTACATTCTTAGACCCAATCCTATATTTAGAGTTTTATGTTAGCCCAAATGCAAAGACACCTTTTTTGTTAAAATAAGTAGTCTAAAACACAAAATTATGTAGGTCTTTTTGAAATAGGTCCTCTACATGCCAATCACCAGAGGTTGCCACATGAAATTCCCACCACTTAAGAACAGCCCTCATGGGACCAGGTTTGGAGATTTGGACAGGTTTTCTTTAACTTGGCCATTATTTGGGGGTTCCTCTGGTATCCCAATTTATTCTTGAAACCTGTTCTCCAATAGAATTTCATGGTTTGATCCCTCTGTCATGGGATTTGATGCCTACACCTTTTCAGTGTCTCAGATAGGGCACTTGTCAGACAGAAGGCTTTCTTCTCCTCCCTTACAGAAGATAAACACATTTGCAGTGGCAGAAATGTTCCATATCCCCATTACTCAGAATGCAGTTACCAGGGTAACAAAATCTCAGTTTGAAGATTCATTTCTTCATGAAGCTGGATATGTTTTACAACTGTGTCTTTTATCACTTGAACTATTGGGTTATAAAGACTGTGCATCAGATTGTCATAAACTGATTTTACAGGAACTATTTTCATCTAAAAAGAATTACAGAAAATATGTTGTTAATTGTCACTTTATAAAAGAGCGACAACTGTAACAAAAAATTAAAGACTTGGTGCCAATATTTTGTCTCGGGAACATTTTCAATCAAAAAAATGGTGTTAAAGCTTCTGGAAGTGGTGAGATGACTTCTTATGTTGAAGTTCATGGCTGGTGTTATATGATACAAAATGTTGGTATATCAGTTTAAAAAAAAAAAACAAACCCATAGAGTAAAACTTGGAAATTTTTTTTTTTATCAGCACAGAAGTTTAGTATTTATAACACACCACTCAAAGTAAAAGATTTGATTCAGTAAACAATGTAGTATTTTCCAACCTTTCATCAAATGACTGAAATAAGGTACTCATTTAAACACTTATTTGCAATAGTCTGAGTTAAAGTGTAAGAAATGTGATGCCCTGAATTTTTTTTAGAATTGCTCTGGACAGCTCCTGAGTTACTGAGGGACCCAGACATGTGCAGAAAAGGAACAATCAAAGGGGACATTTACAGCTTTGCAATCATCCTACAAGAAGTGGTGGCTCGGGGTCCACCTTACTGCACATCAGAACTCTCAGCTGAAGGTAGGCAACTACTACAGTATATTTTTAAGGCTTTGTGCAGAGCACTTATAAAAGGCCTGGCCAAGTCACTTTATTAATAAGGCAATAATGTATTAGTCCCGTGACCTTTCTCAGTGGCAGAAGTCTGCTTTCAACACAACATTCATAGTAAACATCAAAATGTGTAGTTCCCATCACAGCCTAGGTACATGTCTCATCACAGCCTTGGTACATATCTCATCACTGCTTTCAGTGGGATCAGGGTTCTGGGCTCTCCCCAGGATGCTTCAGACCTCTGCAGCACTTCCTGTGCACCTTGTGCAAACTCGGACTTTTCATCACAGTATGGGGTGAAATCTGAGGGCAGAATTTCCCATAGCTTAGAAACTCCTTTGTTTCCCACTCATTGTCCCTTTTTTGTCCATCATGGAGGCTGAAGATTTTGAGCTGGACCCCTTGCCAACATCCTGTTTTGTCCATCTGCCCATCTATTTTTCCTTAATCCTTTCCTTTTTAAAGAGACTCCATCTTCAACAGAGGTCGAAATAATGCATCATTTTGCTTATGTATATCACAAACAGCAAACAGGTGAAGTCTTTAGGAGCTGCTCAGGGTGTAACCATGTTGTGCTTCCATGGGAAGAACAAATCCACTGCAGTCGGGTCAGGTCACAAGCACTTAAACAGGGAGGGAGTGACAACAATCTAAAATTAGCTGATTTCAGTGATAGCCCATTCTCAACACATTTTAAGCTGGACAACCATCAAGTGGGGTATGAAAATTCAGTATGTGCCAGTTCAGCTGGAAAAATGGGGTTCTGACTTTTCTGTGCCTGAAGCTGCTGTCGCAATGTAATCACAATGATACTAGTGATGTATCCCCTATGTAAATCAGAGCTAGACCTATGATGTAGACTATGGTGCAATTCACAGATTTCCCCCACCACATCCCTCCTGTAGAACCTCCAGCAAATGTTGAACACAGATCAGTTCTGTTTTCTAACCTGATAAAATGATGAATTTCTACTCATTGTGTCAATCTTAAGGAGTTTTCGCTTGTGAACTTTAAAACAATCTGGGGAAGGCATTTCCCCTTGGCTGTCCCTGGAAATATTGGTGCCAGATGTTTTGATTAGTTCATTTGGCAGAGTCTGGGGAATGAGGCAAAGATCTTTAAAGTAAGCTGTAAATGCTGGAAAGCTTTGATTACTCACAGCAACAGCAGGACTCCTGCCAGAGAAAGAGGGTTTTGCTCCATTTACATGCTCTGCACTGAGCAAAGTAAGATTTCAAATACAATAACTTTGGTGGGTGTTAAAAGACTGACTTCTCAGGGTTTGAAAACCCAAGCCCAGTTTCCTTACAAGCTTTATTTCTAGGAAGGGAGCTCTAGACAGGGAGTCATTTCCCAGACACTGTTTTGAACTCAACCTCTCCCTCTTAACATACTTTCCACTGTCGCCACTCCCACCAACCTCCTACGTCCTGGTTCCCAGTTAATGATGAAGCATCAGAGGCTGGTATCCTTCCTGTCTGGGCTCAGCTATAAACCCCTGCTGCCTTAGAAGACTGCAGGTCCTAGTGGAGAGAGTCAGAGGCAATTTCATTAAATACAAGCCTGCAGGCTCGCACATCCATCTGTCACACATCCTTCCCCCATCCAGCCACTTTATTACTCATAACCTGTTTCTCCAGGGACAAGAAGGCAGATGAATCTTCTTTAAATCAAAAGACTCCTGACAGAGAAAAGCAGAAACCTCCAGCCCCATTTGGCACAGACACTGGGTGCTGAGGACTAAGTGTGACAGCTGAAGAAGCAAGACAGGGACAGATGAAAAGGTCCATGTCCTTTGCCCATATCAAGACCTTCCATCTTACAATGTGCTTCCCATTCTTCTCTTTGCCACAGAAATTATAAAGAAAGTGAAGAAGCCCCCTCCCCTCTGTCGGCCAAACATAGCTCCTGAGGTAGCCCCCCTGACATGCATCCAGGTAATGAAGCAATGCTGGGCTGAAGCCCCTGAACGGCGTCCAACCTTTGAGGAGGTGTTTCATAAGGTCAGTAAATAAAGAAGCTCATGTAATCCAATTGTTTGTTCTTGGCAGGGAAGTGTTTTATTGTTTAGGTTTGTGGTTGGTTTTTTTTTTTTTTGGTTTTTTTTTTTTTTTTTTTTTGCTTTAACTCAGTTATTAAAGAATGAAGACATTTCAGAGCCCTAGACTTGTCCTGGCTTAGAAATGATGAAGCAGCCTGGACATGGGCTTCAGGTCTTCACATTTGCAGTGTACCTGCACAGATAGTCCCATGGAGATTATAGATTCATAAATCATCCACCTTCAGACCAATTTTTCTTTTAATCTTCTGAAGTGTTTCAATGATAACTATAAGGAAAATTCACCAAAGACTGTTAAAGACAAAGATACAACATTTGCATTAGGAAGTCTCTCAATTCCAGATTGCTGGAAGCTTGGAGACTATCCCAGGGAAATATGACTATACCTGAGGCCTGTTTAAACAGCTTTCCCAGATATCTGTCACTGGCCAGTGACATGGACAGGTACTGGCAAAATAACCCCCCTTTCTGATCAAGCAGTGTAGTTCCTGTGTTCTTATAAAATCATAGGATTATAGACGTGTTAAGGTTGGAAAAGAATTTTAAGATAGTCAATCATCAACCCCATACCACCACCACATACGATGTTAAGCCATGTCATGAAGTGACACATCAACATGTGAGCACTTCCAGGGATCCTGACTCCACCATTATCCTGAGCAGTCTGTTCCAAACAGGCTTTAAAAATCCTTTCTGTGAAAAAAAAAAATCTCAATATCCAATATAAACCTTCCCAGACACAACTTTAAGGCATTTCCTCAAAACAGGTAAACAAATATCCATAGTTTTTACCTTTTGGTTCTATCAATCTGTGAATAATTTTGAATCTGCTGACTCCACTGTTGAGTCTAAGGTAGCCTCTAAAAAATTTTGAATCTGCTGACTCCACTGTTGAGTCTGAGGTAGCCTCTAAAACCACAAATTATCTGAAAGTTCCAGCAGCTCAACTTCAGGTCAGGAGGAGAAAGCACAACTCAATGAAGAACTGGGAATGGAGGTAGCAGTACACATGGATGTCAGTGTGCAAAGATGGATTTAAGTGCTGTAACATGTAAAAAGGTTGTTAAGGGTTGCTAACACCCTGAACTTTGTGCTTCTGAATGCAAAGTCTTGCAAGTTACCCTAAAGATTTTTCATGGAATAAATGCAAACCTGCAGCCTGACAGGACTCCATAACAATATACATGTTGACAACTACTGTAAGGTTATGTTTCATCTAAATCTCACTGATTGATGCAAATTCACCTTCTAATTCACGTTTTCCTTTGTCTTTGAACTCTTTCCATTGAAAAAGCCAGTCTTTAGTATGACACTTCCAAAGAAATGTTTGCTTTTTGTTTCTTTCCAAACTCAGAGTGCTATAGTGGTAGCAATGGTAGACAAATAACTCTCCAGTTTGATTTTCCAGTTCAAAACCATCAACAAAGGGAAAAAGACCAATATCATTGACTCAATGCTCAGGATGCTTGAGCAGTACTCAAGCAACCTGGAAGATTTAATCAGTGAGCGGACTGAAGAGCTAGAGGTTGAAAAACAGAAGACAGAAAAACTGCTGTCACAAATGCTTCCACCGTAAGTACTGGTACTTTAAGTGGTAAAAAATCCCCAGGAAATGAAACCAAAAACACCCCAAAACAAGTCCATATCTAGTCTGAGCAACATCCTTCTCCAGAAACAAGCAACATTGTAGACCTGACCATCAATTTTGACAAGCACCTTCAAATCAAAGTAAAATGTCTTAATCAATGCTGGTTACAGCCATGTAATGGAAGATCTGAACACATTAAAACAAGAGTCTGAGCTCTTGGGCATGCACTAGAAACAAACAGGGTTTGTTCCCTGCCATCTTTTTTGTGTTGCTATTTCAGTTCAGTGGCAGAAGCCCTCAAGACTGGTGGCACAGTGGAACCGGAGTATTTTGACCAGGTGACCATCTACTTCAATGACATTGTGGGCTTCACATCCATTTCAGCCCTCAGTGAACCCATTGAAGTAGTTGACCTTCTGAATGACCTTTACTCTCTGTTCGATGCCGTTCTTGGAAACCATGATGTTTACAAGGTGAGAAGTAATTTCATTCTGTGTTTCCTTTCCATCTTTTTCAATTTCTATATTTATTTCTTAATGTAGTGGTGTTTGCTAGGTGGAGACAATTGGTGATGCCTACATGGTTGCTTCAGGGCTCCCAAAACGGAATGGGAACAAGCACGCAGCTGAAATCGCCAACATGTCCTTGGACATCCTCAGCGCTGTGGGAACATTCAAAATGAGGCACATGCCAGACATTCCCCTCAGGATACGAATCGGGCTGCACACAGGTAGGCAGCTGAACATCAGAGAGCTCCTTCTCAACTGCATTTCCAGCTCTGAATGCTTTCTTCGTGCCTGCCCTCCAAAAAACAGCCGTACAAGGCACTTTAAAATCTTCCACATCAACCAGGCAGTTAAAATGGAAAAAAAAACCAGCCCAGAGAGGGTTTGTGGAGGCTTAGTATTATTTTAAGAAAAAATTTTGTATTCTGTCCCAGCCAGGAACTACATCTGGCATGTTAGTCACAAGGGTTTCATTCTATGGCTAGCCCTTTAATGTGGCATAGGACCTTCAGAGGTGGGACATCAGTGATGTCTTTGCAACTCTATTCTGAAATGAAAAAGCACAGAAACACTGGCATGTAAAGTGAAAGCACTAAAAGATTGGAGATATTTATTACAGGTAGGATATATTGGAAGAAAAATGTGATGCAGCTCTTAAGAAAAGGTTATAAAGAAAACATTATCTCTGATGCAGAAGTCATAATGTATTCAATCAACAGAAAGGTTGCTTGTTTAAAATGAAAGGAGGAAGTTCCATATATATATACAAAATGTAATTAATCTCCAAAATAAAACAAAATAAAAATCCCAAACAGTAGAACTACAGTTATATAGGTAAAAGTATTTTAAATATAGGAAAATACATAAAATACATCTGCTGTTATCATGAATCGGTATTTATATAAGATATATGAACCTTCATATTTTTTTACATTTTTTAGTCAACCATTAATAGATTTTTCCCCAGCTGTTTGTCACCAGATTTCCTGCCTCTTCCTCTAAAGTACCAGGTGTTGCCCACTGTGGGAAGCCAAACAATGACTAAGAATGCCCAGGAGACTGAACCAATAATATATGGGGTTTTATCCTTCTGCTTATCTGATAATATCCACACTTTTGGAGCCTTAGGATGCAAGCATTTTACAGATATCAATATCCTGGTCCCTGATGTACATGTTGGGAGATAGAAGCAGAGTAAAGGAAGTATCTGAGTCAGAATATCCCAAGAACAGAGCTGTGACTTTAGCAGAATTAAAATCAGTATTATGAATCCTTGACCTTATAGGGTCAAGAGATAATTCTTTTGGAGTTATCTCTGAAACACATCTTCCTACTGTTTTCTTTGAAGTTTGTGATTCTTAGTTGACCCTTCACAGAAGTGTAAAGCATTAAAGAATGATTGCAGGAGCACTGTGTTTTATACTCTGTCAGAAATTAGATGAGACCATGGCTGCAGATTGTCTCGCCCAGAGCAGGAGTCCCTGGAGCACCAGCAGCATATTTCCAACATGGAAAGAGAGGAATTTGCTGTGCAACATCTGCTGCTGCCTGTTGACACCAGTTCTGCAATGTATCTCCCATGCAAAAAAAATTCATCCCTAGGTGGAGTCTACAGGGGGCAGTAACATTTTTTTTGTTGTTTTTATGAACTCTGGATATCTGGAAAGCAGAATTGCTATGAGCTGCTGTATTGGGTGTGAGAGGAAGAGGGCAGAGGACTCTGCAGATCTTGTTTTGCACAGATCTGGCAGCGTCATGCTGTCATGGGAGCAGCCACAAACACATGTTCCAAATCAAACCAGCTCACTGAGCCACGGAGCTGACAGCTGAGTTTGATTAACCCTAGACCCCATTTCTCCTGAGAAAAGATGCATGAAGAGGGAATGATCAACATCATGAAAACCTTGGGGAAGCTCTTGGGGGAGAGGAGAACTTGGCTGATACTTTCACTGTACTGGAAAGGATGGAGAAAGGTTGTGACCCTCAGTCATGTACTTCAGCTGCTCTCTGGAAACTGGTGCCAAGAAGAGTTCATGATGCCTCTCAGAAAAAGCAGTAAATGCCTTTTGGGCATAGGCTGCCCATGTCTTTTCAGCCCCGAGAGAAAGCTGCACCCCTGGGAACTTCTGATGGCCCATGCCCATGGTCTGCTTGTGGCAATGCATGGGTAAGGCAAAGAGGACAAGAAGACCAGTGCTTGGTTTGCATTTTCTCCCCTGCTTTAAACATGTCCTGGAATCTTGGCTGTCCTCTCCTGACTTCACTGCAGATCCAGGATAACTCGGCTGACTCAGCTGTTTTCCTGCTATCCATGCCTGGCCTGAAGCAGGACAGCCAGTGAGAGCAGTGGTGAGAAGATAAGCTTTTCCACGGAGACTGAAGATGATTTGTGTATCATCCAGGCTCTCTGGCAGTCAGCCCTGCACTTTGATCTTGACTCTAAAACTCTGCAGCACTGCTGATGGTGTTTGCAGAGTCTTAGCCAGAGACTTTCATTAACTGATCTTTGCAAGCCCTGGCAAAGAGACACTTCAAAGCAAACCTATGGACCTGTGTAATTAAGCAACTAGGCCATACTGTCCACATCACAGGGTGTCTGGTTTCCTCTGAAACTTGTAACTGTGGGAGATTTACCATTGGAAGTTTTTTTTTAGCCTTCTGCTGAAGCTGTTTGGAAAAGGGAACACACACAGAAGGTGAAGGCAGTGAGCAAATTAAGTCTTAGATGCTTTCAACACAGGGAATGTGTAATTTTGGGAATGCTTATATGGTAGGGTTGGTTTTGAGCTGAGAGCCCTCTGCAATGGGAGAGGCTTAAAAGCAGTGTTCTAGAAAGATAACGCCTCGCCTTAAAAATCTTGCCTCTCCTATGTTGTGATCTTTGTGTAGAAATGGATGAGTGATTACACCGACTGAATAGGGAACTTGAATTCAGGTACCCACATGGAGTTGTTTCCAGGACTTTTAGGGAGTCTGCACTCATTTTGAGGACATATAAATGAACCCTGTAAAGCTGTTCATGTGCAGGAGTGGAAAAGCTCTTACGGCTCTGTTGACCACATTGACTTGGACTCCACTGACTACAGTAGAAGCTCATCTGCCTTTATTTGTGCTTCTTAAAATGGAATCACAGAATCATAGCATACTGTCAGTCAGAATATCCCAAGAACTCTGAGTTGCAAGGGATCCACAAGGATGATGAAGTCCAACTCCCAAGTGAATGGCCCATACAGGGATCATCTCCACGACCCTGGTGTTCTTAGCACCATGCTCTAACCAATGAAGCACAAATCCTCCTCAGTGAGGGCTGTTTTTTCAACATTCAGAGCCATCTGTTTGTGTCCTGTCCAAATAATCTATTACAGAAGGAACTTTGGTCCTTGATTTGGGACTGCTGCTGTCATGTTATCACCACAAAAAGAAGAGAGGCAGTTTTTTGTGAGATAGTGTTTTCTCAGGGAAATCTCTTACTGAAGCATGAATAAGAAGTCACCAACAAGACCTTTTTATTGGCTATATGTCACATTAGCATGCACACAATAAAGACCAGTAAGGGAACCATAAGATCCTTGGCTGAGACTATCAACAGTGACTTTCTATACAGTTGTGTATAGAAGTGCCTAAAGATGAAAACCTGAACTAAAATTCCTCTAGTGGATATAGTTCCTCTCCTGAAAAGCTTGAAATGAAGTAGAGAGTACTGATAAGGATGGGAATTAACTTGTCAGAGATTCTGAGGAACAGTGTTTTGTCTGAGGTACACTGACAAGAGTTGAAAAGAAATCCCCTTAAATTGGGTTTTCATGATCTCCAGCAGTCTCTGCCTGCTGTGTTTTATCCAGTTTGATCCATGCTGCTCCAGTCCTTGTAATATTTTTTGTATGAACCATTCTTCCTCACTCTTTTTAAAAAATATTTTATCAAGCAATGATTCATCAGGCAGGAGTTAATATCTGTCTTACCTCTGAGTTTGCATCCTCATGAAGTATTTTAAAATCCGTCACCTTTGGGCAGCAACAACTTTTCAGAGGTCACAGCAAGAGAGGTTCTTGTGAAGTTCCCCATAGCTTTCAGCAATGGATTTTCATTGTCCTTAAGATAGATCTGAAAACTATATGAAAGATCAATTTTTTTTAAATAACACTAAAATCAGCATAAAATTGCATTGTACTAAACTAAGTAACTGATCACTTCTAAATTATGCCACAATTGCTACTATGTATATTATTACTGTTTTAAACCCAACATTTTAGCCTATAACCTTTTTACATGATGAAAATTCTAATCTATAGCATCATGTTAGGTACTGTTGATGATGTACAGTGTTCACGTCTCTTGTAGTCTTGCATGGGGAAAGATTTCCAATATCAGCTGTACTAAATCTTCACTCAAAGGATCATGACATTGAAAAGACAGGCAAAGCCTGAAAAGGCACATCTCATAAATGCCTCTGATGGAAAATACAGAGAGTCCTGTCTTTTGTCTACAGGAAGCCCCACACCTTATCACATTTCTTTTTATTTTTATTTTTGAACTTATTTTGCAGGCCTGATATTTTCTGTTGTAGGCAATAAAATTTAGCATCTCCTCTTTCAGAGGGCAGTCTAAACATTAAGTAAGCCAAATGCCCCAGATGAAAATTGTCTGTGCTGTTTGGCTTCCACACATTTTATCTCCCAGTCTGTGCATGATCATGCTGATCCTACACACATACTTCTGCCTGACAACTTGGCAATGATTCTTTAGAAGCTACTTAGGAAGTGAATAGATCTTGCATAAAGAATGAGAAAGAGGGGAAGAAAAGAGCTTTTGGCTAGACAGGCCATCAGACACTGTCTTCTTTTCCAAGGAGGGGACACAGGGTGGTCCAGAGTACTGCCAGCGCCTCTGGACTCCCAAGGCTGATTTTTAATCCTGTTTCAATGTGTTACAGGGCATGTAACAGGATCTGAACTTTATTTTTGTCACGTGGAAAAAGACCTTTTTAAAATGAGATTATGATTGTCCTTGAGTTTTCATGAACTCTGAACAAATTTCTCCCAGACGATGGTGAACTGAGGACCTACCACACAGAACCTTTTTCAGACATGAAACACCAGCATGAAATCCAAAGCAATGCTTAACTTCTGACTGATTGTAGCAAGCACCAAGGCCAAAGAGATCTTAGGGAAACATTCTTCTGTATTCCCAATAGGTTTTTTGAGTATCAGAGGAGAAGATGAGATCTGTTTGTCAGTGAACCCCTAGATTTATGCAGGGCCATGCAGGTAACACAGCTGCGGTGTCTTTCAGGGCCCTGTGTGGCAGGCGTGGTGGGGCTGACCATGCCACGGTACTGCCTCTTCGGAGACACGGTGAACACGGCGTCAAGAATGGAGTCCACAGGCCTGCGTGAGTATTTGGGACAGTCAGCGAAAGGGGAAAGTCAAATGAGAGAATTCAAAGCAGCCTGAAGGAGAGGGCACCAGTTTTGCCGTTGTAGGTCAACCTTTAGGACCCTGCCTTCCAGCTGCAGTTCTCTGACTCGAATCCCATCAACCCAAATCAACATGAATCTTGTCCTACTTTCCTCCAGTATGGTTTGGATTTTGCTTTCAGTCAGTGCTAAGAACCCTCAATTCAGAGGGTTCTTGCACAGTAAAATAATGCATTTACCTTTCCTGACCAGTACAAAGCAAGGGTTGAAGGACAGGTGGGCACTGCTTCCATCATACCCATGGTCATAGAAAGTCCCACTGAGACTGCAGACAGCAGGAGCACTGCAGGTGCAGGAACATTGCTCCACATTAATAGAAATGCATAAAGATAAATAGGAAAATTGTAGCTTAATCTCTCACGGCATGTAGCTCATAGCTGTACGATCTTCCTCCACATATTCAAACTGATGTTTTTCTTTCTTATTATTACAGAAAAAAAATTAATCAGTTCATATCCCATCCTTCAAAGGGGAAGACAATGTGATTGACAAAATTGAAATCAAAGCTCAACAAGAAAAACTACTTTGGGGAAATGTTTTAGAAATATTTCCTGGCTTGTTCACACAAGCAGAACAATAAAAAATTTCAGTGAGTTCCAGCAGTGGCTGTAAAACAATCTGGGGAAGATGGGAATGCAATAAATTTCTCCACCTTTGCCCTTTTTGTTCATAGACTAAATGGCAGCTCTGGGTGGAATAAATTACTAAAAATCCAGATTTAACTACATGCATAGCCACATTTTCTTTATGTTCCCTTGCAAACTCCATCTCTCTGCTCTTCATCCCAGCTTTCAAATTATGTTGTGTGTCTGGAGCAGGACAGTTGGCTATTTTCCATTTCTTTTTCATTCCCTAGTTATACTGTGGCAATAGATAAACCAGAAATCTAGCTGACAATGTTACTGGAAAACCAGTTGCCATCTTTATGAAGAGATGGACTTCTACACTGAATGTAGAAGAGAAGGTATCCTTCTCCAGGAAGCCCACAGAGCAGATCTCCTCTCCCCCTGCACTCTTTACAGCCCTGCCTGGAAGAATCCATCAGTCAGCATTAAACTCTACATAGAGGAGCACCACACAGCTACACCAGCCACACCCTTGAATTGGAGCATTCCTGCTTTGGAGCCCTTTTCCATGTCAGGATGAAGCAGTGGGAAGTTCACAGCCTGTGTGCAGTGCAATGATCCAGCTGCTTTGCTCTCTGTTCCCAGCTTACAGAATTCATGTCAGCCAAAGTACAGTGGATACACTTCGGAGTCTGAATGAAGGCTATGAAATCATACCGAGGGGAAAAACAGAACTGAGGGTAAGAAGGCCAGGGCTGTGTGAAGCACTTCACAGGGGAGTCATCTTGCTTGAGGAATTTTCATATTAATTTCTTTTTGGCCTTCACACACCAATCTTCAGCTGAATCCTTCCAACAGTTTCCCTTTCATTTGTTTCAATACATTGAGTAGTTATTGAAGGACTGTGGGATCAAACAATCAGCTGTATATGCTGGATATAAGTATTTATATAGTAGTTTATTTAGTCCACCCTTGACAGAAGCTGCTACTTTTCGAAGTCCAAACAATACAGTACTAAATAATTCAAACATCACTTCTACCTTTACACAGTCAACGGCCAGAAGTAAAAGCTCTGCTTGCCTTAAATGCCTAGAATAAAATGTCTGAATATGGCTTCAGGTCCCTCAGCAACTTTGCATGACAAGTGGAATCATCCAAATTCATATGTCTGCAAGTGGAGATCTGGGGTAAATATTCCGGGTCTAGTCAATGAAAAGAAACGTTTGCATAGTTAGTGGGGATAAATTGGCCTTTCAGGAAATTATTAGCCTGAAGTACTTTGAGTCTAGTTTATGTGAAGATGATTTTTGGTTTTCCTCCCCTTCTTCAGATAAGGGTGTTTGACTCTCAAACGGGTTCATCAGATGCATCACACCTTACAAGCTAAACTATCAGTGGTGGGAGAGGAAGTTATTATTCTGATACTCACTTCAGAACGAGTTGTAAAATCTCTCAATTAATAATGCTAGTGCTGACAAATAAGATGATTAGTGATCCTGTAGTTTCCAATTTCTGTTCAGCCGTGTAGTTTCAATGACCCAGATCAATGAGGGTAATTTGTAAATGACAATTGGAATGAGGATAATGAATATCCTCTTTTAGGAAAGTCAAACTCAAATAATCCCTGAGCTATTCTGAAGGACAGCTCAAGATTTCCAGGCATGGTCTGTCTCTGGAAATGTATGAAGCCAGAGAAACCTAGAGAGAAAAATTATATATCAAGCAGAGGGCAGTCAGAAAGCAGCTTTTTATTTGGATTTTTGGTTTTATTTTAGGGTAAAGGAGTAGAAGAGACATATTGGCTGGTTGGGAAAAAAGGCTTCCAGAAGCCCTTACCTAAACCTCCTGAAATAAAGCCAGGGTGAGTATGACTTCATCACTGTCCAAGACATTCATTAAAACATCTCTTTTGGAGTTCACAGGCTGAATATCTGTCTGTCCATGTTATCTGTTTGCAAAATCTATATCCTGTTCCTCCGTGACTTACATGTTCAGGCATAGTACTGGGACTCAGAAGGGATGAGATTCCTTCAGCATCTCTCCTTATTCACAGTTCCCAAGAAGTGACATGGAAACTTCCTGCTTCTCCCCTGTAATCACTTGGAGACTGAACTTGAGAGAGAACTTCAGAGTTCCTCTCTGAATCTCCTTCCTGCTCTGTGTGCATATAGGAGAAACACAGGTAGGGACGCTTTCAGGTCTCTGGTGTCATCAGTGTATGGGAGATGCTCAAGATTTTTCTCCCCTTCCATCAAATTCCTACTGAAAACATCAGCCTCATTCAACATATAAACACATTTCTTCCCTTTCATTCTAACAGAAGAATAAGAAAGCTTTGTGTTACAAATTTATGGCACTGTTATGCAATCAAAGATTTAATGAGGCTGCCTTCATTAAGTCATTTTGTAGCTTTGTAATGCCTGACTTCACAAACAAAGTACTCCCTGTTCAGATGTCACCTGCTGTATGCCTGGAAAGTATGTAGTGGTCAGGACAAAAAAACCAGGAATCGGATTTATTTGACAAGAACAGCGTGGTCATCCACATTAAAAGCAGTCAGCCTTGACTCCCTTTATAGACAAGACAATAAAGAGATATACTTGCTAAGGGTCTGGTTCATTTGGCCCTTGCAATATGCCTGTTTTGTTGAGGTCCTAAAGTAACTACTTCAGAGATCGGTGTCTGACAGCAAACATGGTCTGTTTTAATGTAGCTCTGACTTCTCCTGGTCAATATTGTTCTACATATGGCCCCATTCCCTCTTAGTAAGTAAAAAAATTTCCCCACATACTCAGAATCAGACAATCTTGTGCATCCATGTGTAACCTCTGAAGAGTCCACCCTTAACACTGCAGAGACAGAGGTGATCTACTCTTGTCCCAAGGCCCAAATCTTCCTTCTTCTTTCGCAGTATCTCTATCCCCACAGATCATGCAGCAGTTGAGTGATTTTGACAGTAATCAGAGGAAAAAATTAAAGCTACACAAAACCGTATTTGTCCTAGTGAGGGGGCAAAATGAAACTTATACCCCATAGGCCAAATGTCAAGGTTCAGAAAAAAGCAACTGGATGTTGAAGGAGAGCAAATATTTGGAGAACTGCCTGAGGCATAGGCTGTGCTGTTACCAGATAGGTATTAGACATTATGTCCTGCTTTCCAACCTTATCTTGATGATTCATGTTTTGGCACAAAATCAAGAAGCAGAAAGCTTTTTCTAGCTGGCCAATATGGTCATTTCAAGTCACTGCCTCGTAAAATTCCATAGGGATTTCCTTATTTGTAGGCTTTTGAGCTGAAGAAGGAAATACTGAATAAATTCCTCTTCTACTCATATTTTCACTCTGTCCTGAGACAACTTATCTTCTCTTGGGTATTCCCTTACCATGAGGTCTATGAACACTTGTTATCTCTTGCTTTATATTGTGACTTGGGTAGCCTAAACATCTACAGGTGGGCAGTTGTGGTGGCCATGCTGAGAGGTGTTTCCTACTAAGTGAAGGTTACTACATTGTGCTTGGTCTTATGTCCATGCTATGGAATTGCCAACCTGTGGGCCATAGATTTAAATGTCTGATCCTATGGATGGAAGTTTTTGAAGTTCCTGTTCAAAGGATAAGTCCTTCTTTCTTGGTCTGATCAAAACTCAGTTTTACCTGGTTTTCATGGGAATTTTGGGTTAACTTTGCATGACATAGAAAGTGCAGGACAGTTCTATAGCCTCTCTAGACCTTCCCTTGCTTCAAGGAAGATTTCTACACATACACCTGGTACTGCCACAGGAAATAATGGCATACTGGACATAAAGAAGGTGTAACAGAATTAAGAGACAGCAAAACCAAGTGTACCAAGCAGTCAAGCAGCAGACTACCTGTAGAATAGACATTCTTTTGAGATTTCAGTCAGACAGGTTTAAAGGAAGACTGTGAAATTTCTTTGAGGTGTCACCAGGTGACTATCTAGGAGGCTGAATTATAAGACAAGGAAAAAGCACAAAGTTGTGAGTATATAAGCATGGGATATTTGAAGCTGGCATCCTGTGATGCTTTGGGACAGGCAGCATCTTTTCAACTCCAGTGGAGCAGCCTTCTTGCCCAAAAAAGCATGAAGGATAAGAGGTTATACAAAACTACCAGATGCAAGCCTGACCTGGTCTAAATCTCAGATGTATTTTGCAAACACTGAAAAAAATATCTAACACTAGGAAAAATTCAATGGCTAATGAAATTCAGAAAAAAAAAAAACCCAACCAACCAACCAAACCAAACCAACCCAACAAACAAAGAAAACAACAAAAAACCCCAAAACCAACCAACCAAACAAAACTAAAAACCAAACCAAAACAAAAAAAACCCAACACCTAAGCAAAACAAAACTGAGAGCCAGGCTGATTTTCATTTGCCATTCCAAGGAGATTCTTGGTCTTCTGAATTTCCAACATTTCCCATCCTGGATCAGAAACTATTTTCTTTGATACTGAATACAGTGTTTGAAAGCATCAGAAGTCCTCTATCCAAGCAGGTAGTTTTATTCAGAAACTTTCCCTTTAAATTATTTATGGAAAGTTAACTGGGGGGGAAAATCAATACAATTCAGCAAAGATACATATTGTCAATCCTCTCAAAGGCTTTTAACCATTTAACCCAATGCCAAGGTAAAGAGCATATGAAAGTTTTTGATTTTTTGACATAAACCCAAATCCCTTACCTTATATGAATTCCTTAAGTCTTAAGTCCAGAAGGGTTGATAGGTCTTCTAGCCCACTGCCAGTCACAGTGATAAGTGCAACCTGATGTGCAGCATCACTGAACACTGAAGATGCAGCCAGGAATAGGTGAGAGTCTTGGGGCCCTCTCATCCTCACATGCTTGAGGATCAGCCCTGGAGGAAGCACTGAGATCCTTGTTTGAAGATAAATGGGTGAGTAACAGTGAAGGATGCTCAAAGAATCCATCTCCCAACCCCAAGTGAGAAACACCTTTTTATAAGCCAGGAAAAAGACAATCATTAGGACAAAATGATTTTTTCTTCTACACAGTACAAGGTTGTCATTGCTTTGTCTGTGTTGGAGCACCCTTGTAGGATGGAACTGTAGAGAGTCTCTAGTGTTGCTGATGCTACTGATGTGTCTTTCTGAGGAGAAAACTGAAAGCATTTCCACTGGGCTCCTATCTGAAGTCTGTCAAATGCACTTTTAAATCAAAACTAAAAGAGCTTGTGGACCAAACAGCAGTGAAGTGAAAACCTCTTGTTGTCTTCCCATAGAAGGAATTATACAACAGCATAAAAATATTTCCTAAATAAATTTTATATAACATTTAACAAGAGCTATTAAAGGAAATCAAAGCATCCTCGGTCTCATAGGCTCTCATACAATGTCAGGACAGATGTATTTTGCTTCACACTCAATCCCTTCTTTTCAAACTATTTCTGACCAGCTAACACAACAGCAAAATGAAGACAAAGAAGTATTCTGATCATGGCTGTGGCATAATGACAATAAGAAAGAAGACTTTTTTCTGAAATCTGATGGAGGATGAGAAAGTGAATGAATGTTGGTGACTCATCTCCCTTTCAACAAGACTGTTTGACTTGTGATGTGATTGCACCAGCTTTCATATTTAAACAAGCTCTTCCTGAGCAAGCTGAAGTTTCTGGGAGAGTTGACTGGAATATTACATAATTTGTGCTAATAGCAAGAAACCCTAAATTCAGTGTTCAGGAAGGAAGTGAAGTCAGAACTTCACAGATTTTCTCTGCTGGTTTTGCAAACAAGGTGATGGGAAGAGAGGACCTTTGAAAAATAACAGCTGTCTCCAAAAAGAGGGGTTTTGCCTAAGGCTGGGATGGATAATGCAGGATCAGACCTCTCCAGTTGCTCAGACATTTGTGAGTTCAGGGGATGTGCAGGTTCTGTTTACACTGGATCTTTCTTTTTCTGTTGTGCAGTGGTTGAAAGTCAAGTCACTGTCAAACATTTTATACTTGTGTCTGGAGGTGGACCTCAGGCAGTCTAACACTGTGCTTGATCATCAAATACCCTGGTCAGGCCTTCACCTTCAGTGGATCACAACCTGCTGCACTGTTGTGCAGCAACCTTCTCCACTGCCCTGTGCATGAAGTCCTGCTGGGTGGACTCAAAAACCAAACAAAGATTCATTTTCTCCCTCCAACAGGCAGGATTTAATCTTATTAAAAGTTTTTTGCCTCCATCTAATCTGGTCACCTTGCATGTCTTTGGAGAGTCAGTGCAGAGAAACAGACATTTCTTGGTGTAGATCTTCTCCTTCTTTGGGATAAACTTCTGCTGTGGACCAGCAGCACCAGCTTCCCTCCACTCTCTCAGAATAGAGCCCAAGATATTTGGATTACATGGAGACATCTCTATTGCAGATAAAAAATATCAGGGAGCTAAATCTCACTTGAGATGTAGATTCCCAGAAGAAGTCATTCTTCATTGAACCCATCAGGATTACATCCTCCTGGCTTCCCTGTCCTTGGGACCCAGCCCTAAAGGCACCATCACTCTTGAGGAAGTTTATAAACAGGGATCTATGTTTCTAAGAAGAAACATGTTCCCATAGATAAGAATTTAGATAAGGCATGGGAGGACAACTTGTCTAGGCATTTCCATTTGTAGAGCAGAGCTGGCCAAATACCTGAAATTTTACTCTACTCTCCCTCAGGAAAGGCTGTTAAATTTGTGTTCAGCATTCAGAGGCAACTGGCTTTCTCTAGGGACTGTTAAATAGGATTTCCACCAGGAAATGTGCTCACACCTTAGTGAGCTGAGAGCTTCTAAAAGCTACATCCCTGGAAGACCAAAAGGAACTGAAGCAGGAGCTAAACTAACAAAAGGCAAGATCTTCACTGCTGTTTTGTTCTATTTCTCCCTTTAATGAATGTAGGCAAAGATCAGTGTAATAATGGAATCATTCTCCCAGTGTAATAATGGAATCATTCTCCCAGGATTCATCTTATTTAATTGATTCTGGAAACAGCCTTGATATAGTTTGTACTCCTCAATCAACAAAGTCATTCATTTTGCCCTGTCAGAATTGACTGAGAGTGCCAAGAGCCCTCTGGACACTTAAAATTTAATTAGCTGACCTCATCCTTTGCAGTAAATTGAGTGGTACAAGAGGAGAATTAATAAAGCCAGAGTCAGGACCCATATTTGTTTTCCTTTATCTCACCAGAAGACACTTACCTTTTCTTTAGTCTCCATTACAGTCTGTTCTTTATTTCAGATAAAACTGAACTGGTTCTTTCTCTAATGGCCTACCTGTTCACTGCAGGTATAGAGCTCATGGGTTACTCCCAGAAGAAATTGCAGAGTTCAAAAGAAGGAAAGCTGAAAAACTCCTTGGCAAAAGAGCCTAGATCTGAGGTAGTAGCTGTAGGACAGTCCCCATGTAGATCTGCTGTTTAGTGTCTGCTTGTGTGCTATTTGTTTGCATTTTACTGGTTTTAGTGTCTTTTCTCCCCCCTTTCCTTCTACTTTTCTCCTTTTTATTTTTTTAGTATGTGTTATTATTCCAACGTGTCTCATTCAAGAGGTGCTTGGAACAGCAGCAAAGCTGTAGCCTTGTTGGGTAATTTCCTAGTGAATTTATACCTAGTATCCTATTAATTCCTGAAAGACATTGACTATTACTACATTCATCTGCAGTGTACTATCAATCCACTCTATGCTGATGTTCATGGTGCCAGGAAGAGCCCAGTACATGGTAAATACAGACAAAAATCCAAATTGCCTACAGTTGCTTTTGTGTAATGTACATCTCCTGCCTAGTGCAATTCCATACCTCATGACAGTTAACAGGATGCAGCTTTGATATTCATCATTATGGTACCGATGGGTACAAGAGATAATGGATTTAAGGTTTGGGTGGAATTTGGAAGTCACGTGGAATATGACAGCATGACCTGATGAAGTAGGTGTTATCAGAGCAAGGCTGGCATAGAAGCATGCACAGCCACACTTGCACAAGTGTGATGTCTCCTGAAAGTGATGTATGAGCTGGAATTTTTGATACTATCTCTAAAAACAGCAGTAATGCTTCTGCTCAACTCCTCTGGACTAATATGCATTTCATATCCACTCCCCTAACAAAGAGAGATGGATGAAAGCTCAGAGTACCTAGATAAACCCCTAGAATACACCATATCAGACTGATAGTTTGCTATGAAGACTAAAGCTCCATCCAATTTTCTCACGAGGATAAAACCCAGCAGGTAACTGTTGGCTGTGCTCCTTCTTCCCAAACACATCTTTTAAAGATTCCGGGTGTGCTACCAGGCTCCTTTGTCTCTCTTAACCAATATTTAAATTTTTGTCTGAAGTTCTCTCTATCAAGGACCTAAGGGCAGAAAATCCTCATGAAAAAAATATAAACAAAATTATTTGAATATGGGACACAATCTGAAGAGACCTGCATAAGCACTACCATATGTGAACACCCACTGTTAAATACAAGTTCTGAGGCACAGAAAACCACCCTGCTGATTTACACCTAAGAGTACCAGCTAATTCTCCAAGGCCAGAGACGAAGAGGATCTCACATTTGGGTTAGCCCTGTTTGACAAAACCTGCATATATAGTGGTATATAAGTATTTAGTACATCTATAACGCACAGACACAAACTTCCACACTGAAGCAGGCTGATCAGCAGTATATATTATGGAGAACAGAAGGTGCTCATTAGGCATCTTGGCTTAACCCATTGGAAATAGCAGAAAAATCAGTAAAACATCCATACCTTTTCAATGGTCCTAGTTCAACCCTTCTTGTGTGCAGGAAGCTTTCAATGGAGGCAATTAAGTCCTCAACAGCCACTTATTCCCACATGCCTGCTTGGTGGTTTAGTGATGTTTCCAGCTAATCTTAGATGCTTCTAATGAAAGGGACTATGCTGCCAATAACCTTGTTTTTCCTTGGTGGCAATAAAGAAACATGTACAAGGATCTCAGATGAAGTCATCTATAGTCCATTCACCCAGTTTATGGTCCTTTTAGTCTGTGACCCTAAAATGCTCATAGTCCCACAGGGTTCTTGCTGTAGTACAATAGGGATCCCCATCTTGGACTAATTATGTATTTTGGAGTATTCATCTGGCCTGGAGTCTAGAGGAAGGTCAAGACTCTGCTTCTCCTGCTTAAGAGTCAATCCTTTAACCTTGTGGACTCTGCTGTCCTTGATGCATTCTTGATTTCAAGGAGAAGTGATAATTCTGACTGGATCTTGTTAAAAACACTCAGCAAATCATGAGGAACACTAGAGCACACCTCCAGTTACCCGGAGATAAACCTCTGGGCTATATCATTAGTGACCCTTATCTTTTGTCCTCTGGTAGGGTCTGTGATCTTAACATGGACCTTCTAACCCACGCATGCAAGTGGGATTCAGCCCAGAGCACCGTGGCTGTCGCAGACACTTGTGTAAGGTCGGTAGATTAAACAACAGCTGAAGACTATGTAGGGGAAACCATGGCAGCAAATGCTGCTGGACGATATCCTCAGGCAGATGAATCTCATCCATAGCATCTTACAATACTTCTGAAAAGGAGAAAGGGATTTCTCTCTTTAACTTCAAAACACAACAGAGAACTGTGTCACAGAGAGGTCAGTGACTCCCTAGGATTCATGGATAGGTATCAGTTTTGTCGATGAGACTTAGACCCCATGCAAGCCAGTCAGAATTCATTGTGGAGTTCTCAGGGGTGAGATTTCACCCATGTGATTGGTAGTGGCTGTATTTGTGGAGTGGCCCATTGTATGTGAATGTTAGTACAATCTGTACTGCTCTCTGCTGACTTCTAGCTGTGTAAGCATACAGGTGGTGTATCCTGCATGGACAAAAACACCAGCCTGGGATTACCTAAAAGTACTGAGGCTCACTTTTTCAAGTAATTTTTCTCTTTTGTTTGTTGTGTTTTGTTTTGTTTTGTTTTGGTGTTTTTTGTTGTTGTTGTTGTTTGGTTGGGGGTTTTTTGGTTTTTTTTTTGGTTTGGTTTGGTTTGGTTTTTGTTCCTCAAGGATTTGACTCTCCTTGCATTCTGACCCCTCATCCTATGAAGTCAGCCTAGTGACAGGAGATCCCCTGACACTCTTTCTTGTTCAGGAAATACCCAAATAATTGCAGCTTGCTGACCAAACCATTGGCTAGCAAGGTGCAGCTGAACAGCAGATAAGATCATATAATCATAGGATAGCTTGGGTTGGAAGGGACCTTTCAAGGTAATTTAGTCCAATCCCCCTTGCAATGAGCATCTTCATCATAAAAAATTTCTTCCTTATATCTAGTCTAAATCTATCCTGTTTTAGTTTAAAAACATTACCCTTTGTATTATTTCTACAGGATACCTGCTTCATGTACTTGGTTTTTAATATATATTTCTATTCTAAAATAATTGCACATTCATTGCACACAATGATGGCTTTACAGTTAAACCACATATATATATGTATATATACAACTATTTATTAACTATTTCTATCTCTGTATAATAGCAATGGTGTTATTAGTAGGGATTAGCATTTAGCTCTTTTTGGTTTAAAACAATTGGAATTATATTTTCTTCTATTATATGCAGTAAATCTTATTCCATATGCTGCTTTATCCATGACTGGGTAGCTGTAGATTTGAGACCTTCCTAAAGCCCTACCATTTGCTGAGCTTCTGGCCTCTTACAAGTCCTTGGTGTTTGTCTCTGAGAATCCCATTATGTTATAATGAATTTGCACCCGCCCAGATGGTGGCCCAGAACCTGGGTTTGATGAACTCTTGAAATATTGTGGCAAAAGACAAAAGATCCACTTCAACTCCATCATTTAACATTTCTGCTTTGGCTGACACAAAATGATGCTAAATGAAAAGTCATGCTTTGGTGAGCAAAGCTGCTAACTCCTCTTTTCTGTTTTGCAGCTGGCCAGATGTACTGACCAGGAAATTGAAATCTGTCCTGAGGGACACAAAGAGGACACTAAGAAAGCAAAGAGCTGTGAAGCATGAAGGAGAAATAAGTTTTGGAGAGGATGAAATCTGAGAAGAACATGGCCAAGAACGAGTAAGATCAGGAGGGACACCTTGAAACCAATCCAACAGAACTCACACTCTCCATGTAGTTTCCAGTGGGCCCAAAGCTGTATAATTAATGAAGCCTCTTAGATCTTGCAGAGGGTGAGCCTGAGCAGGCAGATGAATCCTGACCATCATCTCTTGTGAAACTCGGCACCATCTCAGAGATGTATATGTGTGTGTTTTTGGGAGTGGTGCACTGAGGATGAAAGTGTGGGTGATAATGACGGTAGTTCCCACTCTTCATGAGCAACTGTCACAAGGATGAACTCAAAGAATATTTTAGCTAGGTCTGCATGGCAGCACTAACAAGTCCAGCTGCCCTTTGGCCTGGATTCAAACAATAATGCCAAGTGCTAGAATGGTTCAACTGTTTTACATTAAGTAGTTGTTTTCCTGTTGTTATTGTGGCAAGGCCTGGTTTCATGAAAATGAGTGCAGTTGAGAAAAAAAATGTTTTGGACAACAACAAAGAATATTTTTACTCCCCCACAGAAATTTTGACTCAAAATGTTCTCTTCCTGTATTGTCAACTTAAGCTGAAATATTTTCTTTCAAATTGACATTTCAACTGCAAATGCCAATTTAATGCTATTTTCAAAATGAAATAACAGTTTTGAATTGAAACAGTTTGGTATGAATCAATATTTGTTTCAAATGCCAAAATGAGATTTTGCTCAAAATGTCAAAGTATGTCATATTTGCAAATCCAGATCTAAATTGCAAGAACTCCTTTTTTCTGCTTTATATACACATATATATACAGGATATCTAAAACATGTTATGCTTCTCGTCCCAAAGCCAGGTAAAAATGGAATGCCAAGATATTGCAAAACTGAAATGCAGTTCCATTAGCTGAGTAATACTAATAAAATATATTTTTTTTCCCTGCAAAATTGGAGGTGAGGGAATGAAGAGAACATCACTGAAGCAGTGCAAAGCCTAAAACCCATCACTCTTTTCCCATCCAGTCTCCAAGTGGTCTCTGAGGCACTTGTCTATAAAGTAAGCCTCCTTGTGGGTAAAAAGTTTTCTGTAGAGGGTCAACATTTGGCCTGTAGGCACTTCCTAGAGGCAGAGCACACTTCCTCAAAGTCAAATAGTTTTGGTGTTGGGCCCTTATTCTTCCAAATTTTTTACTCCAGTTCAACATCTGGCTCTTAACAGCCTTCTGGGACTTGTTCTCTCTTCTGCAAGGCTGAAGAGAAGAGCAGGTGTGGTAATGCAATCAATATTGCCACCAGAAAGTGTTAACTGAGAACACCGAGACCTTTCTCAAACTCAATTTGAACTCTTCTCATCAGACCAATCAAAACAGATTTTTACCATTCAGATAATAAATAAGAATCAACAAACTTTTGGCAAACTTTCATTAGGTATTGAAAATATCATGAAACAAAGTGAGTCTGAGTTCACAGAGCTAAGGAACACAGTATTTTCACAACTAATTCACTGTCTCAAGTATAAAATATGTACTGTCAAAGTAAAATCTGTTTGAAGTATAAACATCTAAAAAGCAAAAACAGAAGGGAAACTCATTAATGCTCTTTAATAATGAGCTTTTACCCTGTGTCACCTGGCTTTGTAAAAGAAGGTTTTGCTTTTTTAGAGGTGAGTTAATATTCCATCTGGGAGAAGTTGGCCCTTGAAGGACGTCTGTCAAGAGGCTCATACAATAGTCAAGCTGTCAAACAAGGATTAGGAAAGACTTCACTTTCTGCCCTGTGCTAACCTTCTATTTGAAAATTAATTCAGAAAAATGTCATATGGAAGACACATGGGGCAGGTAATTCTTACACAATACACCTCAAAGTACAGTTCCAGAGAGGAATGTTAGCTGGATTGGTCTGTGCAAACATAGGTTTAAAATCAAACAACTTCAACATAATTTATGTCTTTTCCATTATTTTCCCATAATAAAAAAAAAAAAAAACCATCTATCATTGCTAACTTGTTACATAGCAGAGTGGGTTTTATCAACCTGACTTTTCCATGAAAATGATGGAAAAAAGACTTCAACCCACACTTCAGCACACAGTTTTGAATTCTTTCTTCAGAATGTAGTCTTCTAAAATAAACAACATTCTTTGAATTCCTTTTAAAAATTAAGATACTAAATCTGTGGGAAAGGGTAGGAGAGAAGCAGAGTTCTAGTCACTGACGACTTTAGTAATCCCAGGATAATTCATTATTCTCTTTGAAGCCAGTGGTAATTTTTCCTCTTAATTTCAACAGGAAGAGGCCAAGGACTCATCCCTGAGTGTGATTACCTCTGCTGCTAGAAATATAAAAAACATATTTATATTTTCCTGGTATTGTTCTGTTTAGATAGATTTAAGTTCATTTATGAGATTTCTTCCCATACTGTATCTTTTTTTAATTATTACTTTGCTTCTGAAACTAATGTTAGAATGTTGTAATAAGGAAGATGTGGGCTGGAAGCAGCAAATGGAAATTTCTGTAACTACACATCAGACTTCTCGGATGATTGTGGACAAGGCACTTGGTGGATTCTTGGATAGGGAAGCACACATTTTAGTAACCATTATCAACAAGAACTTACCATATGATTGCTAGAAGTTTTACCGCTAATGTTACAGAGTGAATTTTAATGTAATCATGCAAACCCACTGAGAGCTGTAGATGTATTTACATACAACAAACACTATCTGAATATAGTTTGTATTTCATACAGTATTTTTAGCAGTCACTTTATAGCATATGACAATAAAGATCCTTGAAGACCTATCCCTCCCCCTGAAAATCTCATTCTAGTTTGTATATTTACCTTCAGCTGACTTAGCTTACTTTTTATCTCCCTGTGAAGATAAGGCACTTTCACATATTCACTGGATTATATAGTAACTAAAAGCAGGTCTCAAGATATACAAGCCAGTGGCAGGAAAGTCAGGCAGAGAAGATGTGAGATTCACAAAATCCAAGGAAGATATGGAGTAGCCACAGCATGGATGAGTGCCCAAACAACTGCAATGGCCAAAGTCTGGGAAAATTTCCCAAGACATGGCATGTTAATGTGAGGAGGGGTCAATACTACTCCCCATAGCACATTTCTCATTAAAAAATGTGAAGGTGCTCCTCTGGTGTTTGGAAATACAGCCATGTGAATGCAGGAGTAGAGCTGAGGGTAAGTAATCCCAGGATAATTCTCTGATTCTGTGATTCCATCCTCACACCAGCAATGAATCTGTCAAATAGATGCATGAGAGACATTACATCAGCTGTCTCCTTTAAATCCATAAAATGGACATGGTCTGGCAAAGTCCTGTGCACAGGCAGACTCTTACCCACCTTTACCTACCCACTCACACACAGTAGTCATCAGAGGGATGCATCCCTAATGAAGATGGGCTAAGGGTTACCTGCTGCTGTAGCCACACATCCTGGCACTCCCCTTCAGCCATGCCTGAAAGGCCTAGTGTGGCACTCATCACCAGCCTCATCTGTGTTAAAAATAATGGCTTCAATCATATAATGAAATTATATCACAGAATCATTTAGCTTGGAAAAGACCTCTGAGGTCATCAAACCCACCCATTAACCCAACACTGCCAAGTCCACCGCTGAACCATGTCCCCAAGAGCCACATCTACATGTCTTTTAAACACCTCCAGAGATGGGGACTCCGCCACTTCCCTGCTCCAATGCTTCACAATCCGTTCAATGAAGCAATTATTTCCTAATACCCTATCTGAACCTCTCCTTAGGCAACTTGAGGCCATTTCCTCTTGTCCTATTGCTTTTTATCTGGGAGAAAAGGCTGATCCCCAGCCAGATACAACCTCCTTTGAAGCAGTTGTAGAGAGTGATCAGAATAAATGAATATGTGGGAGAAGGCAGAGAAACTACAGCTCATCGTGCACAAACTGAAGCTGTGTGACATGGTGGTATTAGGGAAAGCTCTTACAGGTAAAACCCAGCCTGATTAAGAGCTATTAAGGATTGGTGGGTCAGCTATAGGATACAGAGTTTTTTGTATAGGGAGGTTGGGTTAGCACATGGAATTGAAACAGACCTCCCAAAATGAAGAGAGACATTGCACAGAGGATTACTTCCAGACCCTGGGTGACTGCAATCCTCTCCTCCAGCCTCCTGCAGCTTCAGTGTGAGCAGAAACAAAAAGAACTCCTAGGCCACCAACTAGTGAGACAGGTGAGCAAGGGGAGCTTTTCTGTATTCATCCCACACCAGGGTACTCCTCCAGCCTTCCTAAAATGACCACAGGAGAGAGTTCTCTGAAGCAATTGAAACAGAATCCATGTTCTGTTCAGTGCAAAAAGCACATAATGCTTTTCCTTTGATGGTCATTACTTTACAGCTATTGGTATTAAATTTCATTCACCAGCCTTTTCTTCATTCACTAGAATTTATCACAATCTTTCCCAGGCCTGACTTCATGATATTTGCAGATGTCATGGTTCTCCTTCCTTCCCTGAGCATCTCTAAATTCTGCTGAACAGCACAGGACCACCCACAAAAGTTGTCATATGATGCATCCTGATAATGCAATTCTCTCCTTTGGTTTTTGACTCCGCACCTGTCCTGACCCATGACATTTCCCCTTCACTTTGTCATTGCTTGGTGTAAAATGTCATCCTTTCCTGCACGGGACTTGTTTAGTCAAGAAAATTTTATCAGATTCTCTTTTATTGACTGCTTTCACTGACACATTACAATTCCTTTACTCAAAGGAATTAATCCTCCTTTTGCCATTTTCTGTTCTCAGCTTGGGGCAGTCCAGGAACCAGACTTAATAGGACAGACTTCAGACACAGTTAAAAAAACAACAGATGATAAAAGTAAACACACTCATTTTCACTAATCTAGGTGTTTGAAACGTGTATATGTTCATTAACATATACAGAGAAGCTTAGGAAAAACTGATCTGGAGCCAAGGACCAATGCTGATATGTTATATCCACATAGGCCCAATGCCCAGATAAATAATGCAAAACCATGCATGTAATCCCAATTGGTCTTGAACAGAAGGCATTTCTTAAGTTCTGGAGCCTTTTTATTTTCTATTGTTGTTTAAATTTGTCACATTGAAAACATTCTGCATTTTTCAAGTAGAAAATGGCCTGATTTCAGAGTTTGCTTGCCAGACACCTCAGCTGCCCATCTGCTGGGCTATTGCAGTCCCTGATTCCAAAGCAACCCTGGAGGCAGACGTCTCAGCTCCAATCTCTACATACAATTTCCTCCTTTATTTTCTTTTTTCATTCAAAAGCTGGAACTGAAATAGCATTTCAAAATATCTAAATCCTACAGGAAACCAACTGACCTTTCTCCACACTAGTCAGAAAAAAGAGGGCAGGAAGAGTAGGCAGCAAAAAGACTGCAAGGCTAAATATCCGGCCTCTAGGTCTTTTCTCAGCAGAAGAAATGCACTGTCCAAACATCACACAATAATATCTGATGTCAGATGTGCTGCAATCAACTTCATGCTTTAATGCATTTTGTGACTCAGGCCTGTTCGCAATAAAAAAGCATGACAGGAGTAGAGCATTCCTTTCCACTCCTTGTTTTGAGCTGTCTGTGATATCCTGGCACCGTGTCCCAAGAACACTGTGTGGAAATAAAGCTTTTGTTTAACCCACTTGTGTGGGCTCCCTGAGGAGGTGACGGTCTGCCCAGACAAATCTGTAACTCTCAGCTCCCCAAACACCATCAGCAAATAGCACTGGAGGGAGCAACTGTGGATTGTTATCCAAATAGGGTGCCAAAGTTTATTCATGGATTCAAAGTGGATTCAAAGTTTATTCAAAGTTTATTCATTTATTCATGTCATCAAGGCTTCTCTGCCTGACTGCACCTGTCAGGACTGCAACACAGTCAGAACAAAAGGCAAATATAACCTGATACTCATGATAGGTCCAAGACTTTGGTCCAATCTGCTGGGTGACTCAGGGAGCTCCATTTCTCAAGCTATGGAGGAATTAGCCTGAAAACCTTCTGTCTATCCCTGTACTTTTGTCCTTGTGTTTCATACAGGGATGGGTACAGACTGTCCAACACTGGTATGTGTGGAGGGGAACCAGCCAGCAGAAGGTGGGCAGGTGGAAAGGAACTGAGTGAAGAATTTCCCCAGATGGGGAGTCCTCCAGATCTTGTGGGACAATAGTTTTCATATCCTGTGAGATCTCCAGCAAATCATTCCCCATATCTGGAGTAACTGGAGACCTAAGCATTGAGAAGAGCCAGCTTTGCATTGTCCATCTAGATTCCAGTTAAGCATTTGGCACTGTTCCCCAGAGCATTCCTCTGGAGAAACTCTCTGCTCATGGCTTGGACAGATGTTCTCTTCTCTGTGTGAAAAACTGGCTGGGTGACCGAGCCCAGAGTGTGGTGGTGAATGGAGTTAAATCCAGTTGGTCACAGGTGATGTTTCCCAAGGCTTGGTGTTGCAGCCAGTCCTGCTTAGTATCTAAACCAATGTTCTGGACAAGGGGATGGAGGGCACCCTCTGTAAATTCACAGATGACACCAAGCTGGGTGGGAGTGTGGATCTGCTGGAGGGCAGGAGAGATGTGGACAGGCTGGATCAATGAGCTGAGGTCAATTGTTTGAGGTTCAACTAGGCCAGGTGCCAGGTCCTGAATTTTGATTGCAGCAACCCCAGGCAATGCTAAAGGCTTGGGGAAGAGTGGCTGGAAAACTGCCCAGCAGAAAGGGATCTGGAGGGGCTGTGGCCACATCCCTGAGGAGCCTGTGACTATGTTATATCTCATACCCATGTTGCCTAATGCTATAGGGACCCAGAAACAGTGTGCCCATCCCTGTGCCCATCCCTTCTAAACAAATTCCATGCCATATGTGTAATCAGGATAATAATCTATAGAAGGGCTTGCAGATCTCAATAGCTCCAAGGACTGAAGGCTTTTCTCCCTTCCCCTGAGGGGAAATCTGTAGTTTCACTTGCAAGCACCGAGTGGTGAATTAAAGTGTTGATGGAAGTTCTTCTGTTACACTTCCCTCTGGACACAGACAAAGCCCATCAATGTGAACATCACCTTTGCTGCCCTTCCCACTGCAATAGGTCATCCAGAGAGACAATGCTGGGACACTGTTCAGCCCTTACCTCTTATATTTGTGTGAGTCCTGAAAGCTGCACTGCTGAATGCATTTATCCTCACCAAGTCGTGCCCAGGTGCTGGAGTTTTCTAGGAGTTGTGAAAGGCTGCATGACAAATCCTTCTGCTCTTTGCAGCTAAAAGGGAAAATGAGTGGAAATATGATGTTGAATCCTTGCTAAACCCCAAAAAATCCTCACCACGGGTGAAGGAGTACTGAGACTAGCTCAACTGGTTAGTGCATGGTGTTAAAACTGTCAGAGCTGTGGATTTGATCCCTGAGTCATACTCAAGGACTTTGTGAATCCTTTCCAACTCCAAATATTTCATGATTCTGTGAGTATATGTCTTCCAAGTTTTTGCCATTCTCTCTATGGCCTCCTGCTATGCCAGATTGTCATTATATAGGGAAAGGAACATCCATGCTGCAGCAGCTATCTTTTTTGCTGTCCCTCATTTGCTATAAGAACTGGCCCTGGAAAAACCTTTTGCTCTTGATTTTTGTACAGTTCACCCAGTTTCTGTGGAGTTTATTAATAGAGAGCAAAAGACCTTGCTGATCTCTCAAGCAGGAGCAAATATTTCACTGACTCCTATTATTGTAATTTTGAAATATTTTAACTAAATTTTAACACAATCACAGGAAAATCTTCAGCA